TAGAGGTACCAGCCTGTCTGTTCAGAGACCAGATAAACTGTGGGCAATGCGTGCAGTCAAAAACACACCTTCCGTGGTGAGCCCAAGTCGTGTGGAAGAACCAGGCCACTGACCAGAGAGAACAGAGGGACGCAGTTGAAGAAGTGAGCAGAAAGCCTTCACAAATGCCAGGGTTCTCAGAGAGCTGCACCCGGCACCATGGCAAGCAGGAGCCGCCAGCCTGCCCCGTGCCTCCTGCCATCAAGTTTCAGGAGCTCCAGGACGGACACAGACTCACACGCCAGGTGACTCACCCTCAGCCTTTATAAACCCAGCTGTCGAAAGGCAGAGTATGACACATCCTATCCTCCAGCCTCAAAACACCCTGGGAGGCCGGCCAGGTTAAAGGTAAAATCCTTGAACTCCTGGGAGTGTCCCCTCAGAATGAGACAGGACAAGGATAGCTGGGTCCTTAGCCTACAGCTCAGCCTGCCCCAAGACCATCCCCCACCTAGGGTGTCATGTGCTCCCTCACGGGACCCCTCGGCTCACACCTCTGAGTCTGACCCACACTCCCACAGGCATCACCCACTGGCCTAAGACACACACCCTGGCCACATGGCCAGACCCAGGGAAGAGACGCTCAAAGACCTAGGAAGAAGGCAAGCGATTCTGGGGTCACAGAAAGCAGAGAATGACCCAGAAGGGGGACAGGGACATGGGGGTGGCCAGAGAGGACACTTCTTAAAGCCAGGCCCCAGCAGGACCTGGGCCTCAGCTGGTGCAGAGACAGAACGGCCCAGAGGAGTTTCCGGGTGGCCCTGGGGGTGATCCCAGGAAGCTCCCAGGTTGAAAGGGGGAATCGAGGACACGTGCTCACCTTATCCAGCCAGGGTAGAAGCAGACTCATGCGGGAGACGCAGGGACACCTACCTCAGCCCTCCTGCAAGGGGGAGGGAAAAGCAGAAGCCCAAGGTGAGTGCACCTGCATCTGTGCGTGTGTGTGCAGGCATGGCTGCCTGCAGGTATCATGTGTGTACAAGCATGTGTGCACACATACATGTGTGTCCATGTGCGGGAGTGTACATGCGCATGTGTGAGTGTGGGCATTGGCATATGTGCAGCAGGAGGTGGAGGTGTGCACGTATGTGACTTTCTCTCCCAGTAGCCTGCCCAGGGCCCTCGGCTTCCCCTTGCCGGGTTCTCTGTCACCAGCTGTCCTTAGAACCCGAGTTTTGGGGCCCAGTGGACCCCTGCTGCTGACTTCTACTGTGAAGCTGCAGATGGTTCTGTCTTGCACCATGGTCAGGGTATCTGCAAATTCTTAAAAGAGAGGATGACGGAATTTCTATCGGTTTCTGACCCCTGCTGTCTGTGTTCTCTGAAGCAAGATAAAATGCCTGCTGGTAGGGCCGGCGCCGTGACTCACTAGGCTAATCCTCCACCTCGCGGCGCCGGCACACCGGGTTCTAGTCCCGGTCGGGGCGCCAGATTCTATCCCGGTTGCCCCTCTTCCAGGCCAGCTCTCTGCTGTGGCCAGGGAGTGCAGTGGAGGATGGCCCAAGTGCTTGGGCCCTGCACCCCATGGGAGACCAGGAGAAGCACCTGGCTCCTGGCTTCGGATCAGTGCAGTGCGCCGGTGCAGCGCACCAGCCGCGGCGGCCATTGGAGGCTGAACCAACAGCAAAAGAAGACCTTTCTCTCTGTCTCTCTCTCTCACTGTCCACTCTGCCTGTCAAAAAAAAAAATGCCTACTGGACTAGAGTGTGTCCCAGCTGTTGGTCTCACGCCCACTGGGGCCCCAGCAGGTCCCGGCCCTGGGTCCACACGGCCCCTGCCACACAGGGAGAGGAACACTGATGACCGACTTCTTTCTTTCACTTCCTCACCTCTTCCTCGCCCAGGTGTGTACTCCCCTAAGATACTCCTCTGGGGCTCTGTGCTAGGTGGTGACATCCCCTGAATTCCTGAAATTCTGTTATGTTTAATCTGGGCCAAACTTAGGGCTCCACTTTGTACATTTGGACTGGGGGAGGTGTGTGTATTTTGTTTACAGACTACGGAATGAGACATACATGTGACTAATGCAGGTTCACTAATCCCCTAATTAAATGTGTGTTTCCTCAGTGTTTCTGGCAGAACGCCCGTCAGTGCCGGAAAGACACTTGGCAACAACCTCCACCGTGACAGCAGCTTTGTAGTTCTTCCTTGTATGTCTCCATCTGCTAAAGGCCTGTTTGCCAGCCTGGTTGTGATGACTTTAGGCCGTTTCCGGGGCTGTCCATCACCAGGCTGCAGCAGATCCTTACAAAAGCTAAACAGTTGGGGCAGTGTTACTTACACACACATGCTGGTCTGAGGTGTGTGTGTGTGTGTGTGTGTGTGGACACCAGGGACACTTCTTAGAGAATGCTAGGTTTTTATTCCGGGGCCACATCCTTCATTCTGTTATTAGAATTACTCCTCTTTTGGGGGCTGGCGTTGTGGCAGGTAAAGCCGCTGCCTTCAAAGCTGGCATCCCGTATAGGCACCAGTTTGTTTCCTGGCTGCTCCACTTCTAATCCAGCTCCCTGCTAATGGCCTGGGAAAAGTGGCGGAAGATGGCCCGAGTGTTTGGGCCCCTGCTATTCATGTGGCAGACCTGGAAGAAGCTCCTAGCTCCTGGCTTCAACCTGGCCCTCTTTCATGAAATAGTACACAGATATGCATTGGTTTGTGTTATATGTCCTTTTTTTAAAAAAAAATATTTATTTATTTATTTATTTGCAAGGCAGAGTTATAGACAGAGAGGGAGAGACAGAGAAAGAAGTCTTCCAGGCCAGCGCTGCGGCTCACTTGGCTAAACCTCCGCCTGCAGGTGCTGGCATCCCGGGTTCTAGTCCCGGTTGGGGTGCCGGTTCTGTCCTGGTTCCTCCTCTTCCAGTCCAGCTCTCTGCTTGGGCCCTGCACCCACATGGGCGACCAGGAGGAAGCACCTGGCTCCTGGCTTCGGATCTTCGGATCTGCACAGCACGCCGGACACAACACACCTGCCGTAGCGGCCATTTGGGGGGTGAACCAACAGAAAGGAAGACCTTTCTCTCTACCTCTCTCTCACACTGTCTAACTCTGCCTGTCAAAAAAAAAATAAGAAAGAAAAAAAAAGAAAGAAGTCTTCCATCCACTGATTCACATCCCAGGTAGCTGAAACAGCTGGAGCTGGGCCGATCTAAAGCCAAGACACAGGAGTTTCTTCATGGTCTCCCACGTGGGTGCAGGGGTCCAGGCACTTGGGCCATCCTCCACTGCTTTCCCAGGCCATTAGCAGGGAGTTGGATTAGAAGTGGAGCAGCCAGGACTCAAACCGATACCCATATGGGATGCTGGTGCCACAGGCGGCGACTTAACTGACTACAACACAGTGCCAGCCCTGTTGTTCTTTATTTTTTTTTTCAGATTTATTTGGGGGGCCAGCGCTGTGGCAAAGTGGGTTAAGCCAATGCCTGCAGTGTCAGCATCCCATATGGGCACCACTTCAAGACCTGGCTGCTCCACTTCCAATCCAGCTCTCTGCTATGGCCTGGGAAAGAAGTAGAAGATGGCCCAAGTCCTTGGGCCCCTGCATCCACGTGGGAGACCTGGAAGAAGCTCCTGGCTTCGGATCAGTGCAGCTCCGGCTCTTCAGGCCAACTGGGGAGTGAACCAGTGGATGGAAGACCTCTCTCTCTCTCTCTCTCTCTCTCTCTGTGTGTGTGTGTGTGTGTGTGTGTAAAACTCTGACTTTCAAATAAATAAGTAAATCTTTAAAAAAAAGATTTGTTTGTTTATTGGTTTGGATATTCTTCCATTTGAAAAGCAGAGTGACAAGGAGAGAGAGGGAGGAGAGACACACAAAGAGAAAGCTATCTTCCATCCATTGGTTCATTCCCCAAATGGCCAGGGCTGGGCCGGGCTGAAGCCAGGAGCCAGGAACTCCACCCAAGTTTCCCACATGAGTGGCAGGGCCCCAAGTAATTGAAGCATCATCAGCTGCCTTCCCAGACACGTTAGCAGGCAGCGGGGTCAGAAGCAGAGCAGGTGGCACTCTGTCCATTATGGGACGCCAGCATCCCGAGCAGTGGTTTAACCTGCTGTGCCACAATGCCAGCCTCTAACATTCTTTATTAAGCAAAATAAAAAGTTGGTGACCTTTTGGGCTTGCTCTTCCGGGTTTTCCCGCATGGAGAGTTGCAGCTCACCCGGACATTCCTGGGTGAGTCTCTGTGTTGCGTTTCTCAGGCTGCCGGGGCTGCTCAGCTTCAGCTGCAGACGTTTCTATCTCGTCCAGTGTCCAGGACCTGGCTCCAGTGGGAGTCGTAGTCACTGGGGGCCTGCCCTCAGAAGAGGTCCTCATGAGAGGTTGGCTATAAAGCACGGGAAGCAGCTGCTCGTGGTCTGCTCCCAGCACCCCCGACGTGACTGTGCCCGCACTCCCTGGCCCGCCACAGCTGCCCTCATCAGACTGAACCAGTGGAGCTCCTGATCTTAGAGGGTGACTCTCCAGAACCATGAGCCAAAACCAGCCTTTTCTCTTTACAGAGGAAGCTTTCCCGGGTACTTCATTACAGTGTCCAAAAGCTGACAAGTAGAGGGAGGGAGCAGAAAAGAGAGGGGGACAGAGAGAGGGAGAGCGAGCTCTGGCATCATTTCCTATAAGAACATGAATCCCGTCTGATGAGGGCTCCACCCTACAGCCACATTAAACCATGCCACTGTGACAAGGTGCGCTGTTCTAAAAATGTAAAACCTCAAGGCAGTAAAATTAAAGTAAAGCTGTGTGGGTTGTGTTGCTTGAACATTAAGGAAACCTTTGGTATCGGAGGACATCAGGTGCCGGACACCTGGCGCCAGCCACTGACGTCAGGTGGGAATAGGTGTTGATTGCTGATTGCCTGACTGCTTCCTGCTCGCTCACCATGCCTTTGTGATTAACTGCTAATAACAATGTGGTTTGGCCTTTAAAAACCCCCTGCTCCTGCAACTCACTGCTGTCTTCTCCAAACTTGGTCTGTGAGAAAGGCAGTCGCCAGATGGCTAATAAAGACTCCTGATTTGATCTCTAAGTCTCGCTGGGTTTTAATCGGTGCACCCCTCAACAGTTGGAGGCCCCAGCAAGATTTTCCCCTGTCCCTCTTGGTAGGGCTGGATTGGCTCCTACACTGTGTTCTAGGCCACGAGGAAGGCTCAGGGGGCAGCCGCTGAGAGTCATTCTGCAGCCGCGAGCTGAGGCTTTTCAACACGGATTTCAGAGTCTCCAAGTTTAACTTGAAGGAGTCGTCTGGTACCTCGCCGGTGAGGATAAATCATTTTGATTTCTGATTTGTGGGTCGACCCGCCAGGGGCTGTTGGAAGGCTGGACACAGCATTCCTTCTACAGCCAGGTCTGGGTGCAAGACGATGCCCCAGACTTCTGGAATCTGTCAGTCCTCCTGTTTGTAAAGTCGCCTTTGTCTATTTGTTCTCTGTCGTGTTGTGCGCGCTGGATGTTTTACTCATTGTGGAAATGGGACAGGGGTCCTCTCTTCTAGCCAACCCCCCACCCCCATTGGGTTTTTTTCCTGAAAAACTTTGATGAAGTCAAAAAGTGGGCTATTGGATCTTTTGGATATGATATAAATACTCCTTATTTCCACTTTTTTTGTGAGTGGAGTGGCCAACCTTTAATGTTTTGTGGCCACCAAAAGGAACTACTAATCTCTATAGCCTTACAGGTTCAAAGGGTGATTTTCAGGAAACCAGGTCATCCTGACCAGGCCCCGCATGCTGAGTCTGGATGGACTTCCTCTTCAACCCCCCAACATGGCTGAAAGCCAGCCTAAAGAAACAGGTAAGGTCATCAAAAGGAAAGAGTGTTTTGGGGGCACGAGGGAAGGATAAGCCTCCGCCTCCAGTCATTCCAAGTCCACCAGAAGATTTAGGTACCCTAGACCCTCCCCCGTATGGGACCGTGCCGACGGCCCTGACTTTTCCACTTTAATGTTCCCTGCAGATCCATCAGTACCTGTAACTCCGAGAACCTCAGAGCATTCCCAGTCGACTGATCAGGGTCAGGAGAAGACCGGCCTCGTTAGCCCTATGCACATGCGGAGTGGGTTTGGGAATCAACTTTACCCACAGGTGCCGGAGGCTCCATTTTCCACCCAACCCCTTGCTCCAGGCCTCCCTCTACACCAGGTCACTTCCCCATTAGGGGAAGGCAGACCTCCCTGCATGGTCTATGTTCCCTTTTCCACTAGCAGCTTGTGTAACTGGAAACAGTAAAACCCCTCTTTTTTGGAAAAACCGCAGGGTCTAATCTCTCTTCTGAGTCTGTTTTCTTCCCTCACCAACCGACTTGGGATGACTGCCAGCAGCTTCTCCAGACTCTTTTCACCTCGGAGGAGAGAGGTCACATCAGGCGAGAGGGCCAAAAACTGGTCTTGGGTCCCAATAACAGACAACCTTCCTCTGAACCCATCATTCAGGAGAGAGTATTTCCCCTTAGCCACCCTGATTGGGACCCAAATGATCCTAGAGGTAAGGAGGCTCTCGATCGGTATCACCAGATTCTCTTAAGGGGGCACATGTGGCAGCAAAAAAAAGCCAACTAATTTAGCTAAGGTAAGCGAGACCACCCAGAAGCCAGATGAGTCTCTGCAGCTTTTCTTGAGCACCTCTTTGAAGCATTCCATGTGTATACCCCATACCCGAAAGTACCTGAGAATAGACAAACTGTTTAATGTGGCATTTGTATCCCCGTCAGCCCCCGATATTAGACTAAGCTACAAAGAGAAAGCTTCTTTCTGAATTGGTAGAAGTGGATCAATGGATCTAAAATAATAAAGATGACCCTGCTACTACCCAGACAAAAAGATGGCCAGAATTATGGTGGTAGCCTTTACAGCAAAACCCTGGAGGTCAGGCCAAACAAGGGCCCACTGAGGTGAGATCGTAAGATCAGTATGCTTACTGCAAGGAGGATGCACACTGGAAAAAATGACCCAAAAGGAATCAAAAAAAAGATCAAAGCTTCTCCCAGTTTTGGTGGTGGAGGGTGACTGATGGGACCATGGCTCCATACCTTTAAGCCCTCAGGAGCCCATGGTCACGTTAGAAGTAGGAGGCAAGCCTATTAGATTTTTGGTAGGCATCGGAGCAACTCATTCCGTGTTACAGAAAGTGGAAGGACCAGTTATGGAGGGGGAAAAAATATTCAGGGGGCTACAGGAAAAACCAAAAAAAAAATCCATGCACGAGGACTGGGCTCACCAATTTGGGAAAGGAAACTGTTACTCCTTCTTGGTGATGCCAAACCGTCCCTATCCCTTGCTGGGGAGGCATTTTCTCAGAAAACTGCAGGCCACAGGATAGGGTGGAGATTCGACTGAATGATCTTTTAACTCAGGTCCACCATCTCGCTTACATGCCCCCTGTCTGAGGAGCATCGTTTAACAACTGAAACCAATTCTACTCCACCAAACACTGATTGCCCCAGAGCTTAAAGAATAAAATTCCTGAGGTTTGGGCAGAGAACAATCCCCCTGGACTGGCCACCCACTGGCTCCCCCATCATTGTCTAACCAGCTCTGCCAAAAAAATCCATGTTTGGCGATACCCAACTGGCCTAAAAGCAAAGAGGAATAGCTGTTCACACTGATGGACTCCAGAAGTCGAGCATACTTGTTCCCTGCCAGCCAGCATAGAACATACCTTTGTTACCCATCTGAAAGCCTGAGACCCCCAATTACTGGCCAACACAAGATCTACAGGTCAGTAAATGGGTCGAGACCATCCACACCACAGTGCCTAACCTGTACACACTTCTAAGTCTCTTGCCTCCTAGTCACCAGATGTACTCCATCCTGGATTTAAAGGATGCCTTCTTCAGTCTTCCTCTGGCCACAGTAAGTCAGCCTATTTTTTTTTTCTTTGAGTGGATGGACCCCTAAAAGGGTTTCTCGGGACAATTAACATGGACTAGATTGCCAGTACAGACAACAATACCCAGAGGTCATACTACTACAGTATGTAGACGACCTCCTCTTGGTTGCGAAAACTGAGGCCGAGTGCTCTCGTGCCACTGAGGACTTGCTCCAAGAATTGGCAGCTCTGGGACACCGCGTATCCCATCAAAAGGCCAAGCTCTGTGTGCCTGTGACCACCTACTTGGGATATGAGCTAAAGAAAGGGAGGGAGGCATTGTCATCCAGCCGCACAGAGGCCATCCTTAAGATACCCCACCAAAAACAAGTCGGAGTTCTTAAGGGCCATAGGCTACTGTCATCTTTGTATTCCAAGCTTCGCAGAAATGGCCTGGCCCCTATATGCCAGCACGGGGGGATGAGAGGACACTCTAGTGGACTGAGACCAAGAGTAAGGCCTTCCAAGCCCTAAAGACCCTTATGAGCACCCTGGCCCTGACCCTCCCAGACTTGTCAAAGCCCTTTCAGCTGTATGTGGCAGAAGCCTGGGGTATCACCAAGGGGGTCCTAACCCAAGCCCTGAGACCGTGGAAAAGACCCGAAGCCTATATCTAAAAGATTGGACTATGTAGCTGCCAGATGGCCAGGATGTTTAAGGGCTGTGGTAGTTATGGCTACCCTCACCAAGGAAGCCTCAAAGCTGACTCTGGATCAGGACTTACAAATAGTGGCACCCCACTCACTGGAAGCTTTACTGCAGAGCGTTCCAGAGGTGGCTCTCAAATGCAAGAATTGCCCAATACCTGGTACTGCTCCTAGACCCACCAAGAATCAAATTCCTAAAAGCTGCTTTAAATCCCGCCACCTTGCTTCCTGATGATCCATCTGAGCCCATCCACGATTGCAAGGGGGTGCTGGAGTCCTTAACCAAACCGAGGGCAGACCTGACTGACACCCTGCTGAAAGACCCAGACGCTGTTTTGTTCACCGACAGGAGCAGCTTTAACTCTGAAGGAGAAAGGTACACAGGTGCAGCCGTAGCATAGTCACTTCCTCAGAAGTTGGGCTCCAGCATTAGCACATGGAACTTCTGCTCAGAGTTAACAGCACTAACTCAGGCTTTAAGATGGAGCAAGAAAATCAACATCTACGTGGACAGCAAGTATGCTTTTGCCACTGACCATGTTCATGGGGCACTGTATAAAGGGGGGTCTTCTAACACCTGGAGAAAAACATAAAATGTGTCATCTCAGCCCGGTTAGAATCAGTGTGGCTACCAAGGAAAGGAGCTATCATTCACTGCAAGGGACGTCAGAACTCAGTCCCCAGAGGCCAAGGGAACTGCATTCGCAGACAGAACAACTTGGAAAGCTGCCTTAACCAGTGGGGCCTCCCTGGATTCTCCCCATTGCACCTGTCCAAACTCTGCAAAAGGCTCCCATCTACACAGGAGGAAAAAGTCAAAGGACATTCTAGGGGCTAAGATGGACCATGAGAGATGGATGTGCCTTCCTGATAGGAGGCCACTCCTCCCAACAGCAGTCGGCCAAAGACTGATGGCCAAAGTCCATCATAGCACCCATCCAGGAAGTACAAAATTAACTGAGTTACTACAATGCCACCATTACATCCCCGGACTAGATTAGCAGATGCATCAACTCTCATCCCGATGTCATATCTGCACCCAGGTAAACCCGGGATGAAGAGGTAAGTTAGCCCAAGGGACACAGTTACAGGGAAAGTCCCCCAGAGAACATTGGGAATTGGAATTTACTGAAATGTTACCTGGAAAACATGGTTACTGTTATCTTCTGGTTTTTGACACATTTTCTTGGTGGGTAGAAGCCTACCCTACCAAAGCAGAAATAGCCCGAGTGGTAGTAAAGAAATTAGCTTATGAGATTGTCCCCAGACTCAGTCTCCCACTAAAAATGGGGTCCAATGGGCTTGCATTCATTGCTCAGGTGACTCAATCACTAGCTAAGGTGTTAATGATATATTAGAAGCTACATTGTGCCTACAGACCCCAGAGTTTGGGATAGGTAGAATGAATAGGACCCTAAAGGAAACATTAATAACATTTAAAATGAGAAACTGGTGAGAACTGGGTGAGCCTCCTTCCCTTCGCCCTATTACAGGCATGGTGTACTCCTTATGTAAAAGGTGTCATCCCCTATGAGAATGTTTGGAAGGCTGCCACCCGTACTCCCCAAACCAGGGGAGGAACGTTTGGCAGAATTGGATAATGGCTCCCATCTTAAGTCCTTTTAGGCTCTGCAGACAGTCCTCCAAGCCCACCCCCTGGTGAAAGCTACGAAACCAGATCTCCCCCAGTCAACCTCTAATGCTGACGTCTGCAACATTCATCCCAGAGAATTGGTGTAGATAAAGAAACAACCCCTCTACCCTTGAGACGGTGGACTGGATCTTTACCTGTAATCCTGAGCACGCCAATGGTAGTTATAGTAGTGGGAAGACATTGTTGGATCCACTACACTCAGGTGAAAAGAGCCTCATCTGAAGCCCTGGAATGAAGGACCGCCAGCCCTTCAGGAGATCTGCTAAAGATAAGACTTTCCCCTGCTTCATAAATGCTAACAGGGGAGGGTGTGGACTCACTTCACCACACTTGGGAATTAGAGACCACTTGATGGAGTTGCTATTGCAACTATTCAGCGGGAAATCCCACTTTCTATATTGATCCATGTAAATTGGCAGAGGATAATTGGTTAAATGAGTGTAACCTGAACCGACAGCAGGCTATGGGTGCGGTGAAATGTGTGTCCAGCTCCTCCAGGAAGCCCCAGAGGGAGGGAGATGGCCATTTCCAGATGCCTGGGGTTGTGAAACCATAGTGGACTGGATCGAAATTGGGGGAAGGGACCACCATATTAGCCTTACCTTCAGTGGGTACGTGAAAAGCTGTAGCAGTCTAGCCACTTGTAACCCCATCATAACACGGCCAAGGGAAGGTTGGCAGACTGGACATACCTGGGGCGTAAAACTGTCTCCCTGGACAACCCCAGGTTCAAGTTCACCATATAGAGGTTGTGGCCCAAACCCCCCACTTAATCCTATCGGTCCAGTGAGGGATATGATACCTCAGTTGCCACCAGTAAGACCCCCACACACACACACCCAGAACTGCCACCAGTAACAGCCAACTTGGCAGTAAGCGCCCCAGAAAGTCTTACCCTCCCACAGCCTTGCTGCCTTGGGAAAGGGTTCGTAGACCCCTATTGGACCCCATGTGTCTCAAATGCTGGGTTTACTAGAACCAATTGGACTGAGCTGTGTGTCCTTATAAGAAGACTCAACGATTTGACTTCCAAGTAAAACCAATGGGGAATGTGACAAGGCGGGGTGCTCTAAAAATGTAAAACCTCAGCCAGTAAAAGCAAAGCTGTGTGGGTGGTATTGATTGAACATTAAGGAAACCTTTGGTGCTGGAGGACTTCAGATGCTGGACATCTGTGCTAGCCACTGACATCAGGTGGGAGTAGGTGTTGGTTAGTGATTGGCTAACTGCTTCCCACTTGCTCACTGTGCGATTAACTTCTGATAACAGAATGTGGTTTTGCCTTTAAAAACCCCCCACTACTGCAACTCGCTGCTGTTTTCTATGGACTTGCTCAGAGAAAGGCAGTGGCCAGCTGGCTAATAAAGACTCCTACTTATGACTCAATCTCTGTGTTTTAATTGGTGCACCCCACACCACCACTTCCCCAGAGCCCTACCTCCAGAAGCAACCATACCTTGGGCGAAGGCTGCAGCCCACGGATCCTGGGGACCTGCAGACATTCAGTCCTTGGCGGTCTCCCGTCATGGGTCCCCATCTGCACCCAGGCGTCATTCAGTCTGAAAGTGGAAACTGATCAGTTGCTGCTCTGTTCACGCGGTCTTGCTCGGTCTCTCCTGCGAACCCTTCTTAGATCCATGAGAAGCTCATGAGTTTGTCTAACTCTCTGGCTGTCACCTTGCAAAGCCTGACTTCTACTGACCTCACCAAAACTGCAGACCATAGGGACTGACCCAAGGTGAAGCAAATTTGCTTCCCTCTGAAATCCTGCCATCTCCTCATTGTGCTGCACCCAAACTCATCAACTCCATGTCCATTACCCTTTTGTTACAGGAGTTCAGAGTTCTCTTACTCATGGTGATGAAGAAGTAGGATGTAGACAATAAAAAGGGGTGAGCAAAGCAAGTGGAAGTAGATTTTACTGAGAAATAGACTCATGTTTGCTGGGAGGGGTCCGTCCAGGTCTGGGTATTGGGGGCTCATACAGGGAGTGCATGTCAACTGATCAACTCTTCTACATAGTTTCAACACATCGGGGGTCCATTTGTTTTTTCTGTCTCTTGCAGAGCAGTCATGGTCCCTGACCAGTTAAACATTACCATGGTGACCACTTGGGAGATGTGATAGTCGAGAAATACCATTGACCTGACCAATTAATGCAGGTTACACCTACCTGATCAGTTGCTAAGCACCTGAGACCTGGCTCTGTGGTGTGGTCTGGTCTGATGCTGGAGCCTGGTTCCTCCAAGGTTGCCCATGGGCATGGGACCCACCGTGTTCCCTATCAGTCCTTGCATGTTCTTGGGGCAACATCTTTTGTCTGCTCAGCTGATGGCAGGTTTCATACACACACCTGGCTCCTCATTCCCTCAGGGCCCTTTCCCAACTACCTATTAACTTTGCTATTAACTTTGCAACTCCTCACAATTTCACAGAGGGTATTACTAAGTTTTCCTAAATTGAGCTTTTATGTCCTAATCAAGCACTTCATGAAGTGTGTTCACCACTCACATCTTTGTTTCATCTCCAAGAGTCCCTATGACAGGTCCTGCTGAGAAACCACTGTGGCCGGCACAGGAGCTGAGGACAGAAAATTTTGAGAGACTTAGGCAGGTCTGTCTGCACCCACTGCTTCATTCCCTGTGTCCTATATATGATGAGACTTCGAAAAGTTCATGGGAGAATGAAAGTAAAGAATATTTTCGTGCATCAGACACTAGAAATCATGCATAGTTGTTTCATAACATGTATTTCCATGAACTTGTTGATATCTAGTTCCTGATACAGGAAATGCTGAGCTGCTACGGAGGGGAAAGCCGACTTGTCTCAAGAGTTCCTAGTGGGCCGCATTTCTCTCCAGATACAGGAATGCATACTTCCCCAAGGGAGAAGCCCACGTTGAAACACCTCATCAGAGCCAGGTACGGATTCGAGAGCAGGCCTGGGGGACGCATGTCTGGGCCCCTGCCTGATGCAGCGATTCTGCACTACTCGTTTTAGTGGGACAAAGTGTGCCCATTTGTGCTGTGCTGGGGGACTGAGGTGCAGGCGCTCCAGAGGTTAGGAGATGTCTGATGCTCCCTCAGCAAGCCTGGGGCCAGGCCTTGTTACTACAAGGACCTAAAACCCAGCAATTGTTCCTCCCCTATTTGCCAAGACTGGAGATCGCTTTTCAGTTCACCTTAAAACTAAGGTGGCAATAAGTGTTCACCACAATGCAGAACCTCCATTCTCATGAGCGAGGTGAAGATAAAGCAACGGCAGAGCTCCGACATCTCCCAGGTCTCCCAATGAGCCTGGCACTTTCTGTGAAAGCCACTGTTCCCTGGCTCCTGGGAAGCCATTAGTCAATGGGGAATGTGGCAGAATGATGGCTGCTTGGAAAAGCTGGCTGCCAAATCAGTTAACACAATCAACACCAAATGCTGCCGTGTGCCAGCCGATCACCCAGGGCAGTGCTGAGACACGTGCTGTGCCCGGGGGTGGGGCCCAGCCAGACCCAGATCACCCAAGTACAGGGAAGAGTCTCCTGTTTGGGCTTCACTGATCCTCACCAGGGGTCGCCAAATCTGAGACCATCATGTCCCTGGACAGGCTAGATACTCACCCTGGCCACCGGCTCCCATATGCCACCCTGGGGCCAGCGGGGCCAGTGCAGAGGTTGCTCTGGGGGCAGCCACTGGTGGGCAGGTTCACCCCTTGCTCCCACTGCCTGGGACAAATGCACAGCTGGTGACCACGAGGTTTGTGTGGGTCCTTTTGGAGCCACCCGAGCTTTCAGGTCGTCACTTTGGAGCCCTGTGGAAAGTGGTCTTTGCAGGTGTGGCAATTTTGAGAGGTTTGAGACGAGAGGTTGACCTGCCCTGTCCAAATGGGTCCTAAGTGCCAGCATCTGTCATGAAGGAGAGGGGGACTCCACACACTGGAAGAGGAAGGAGTAGAGCCTGGACAGTAGCGGCTGCAGTCACTAGATGCAAGGAGAGGTAGGGAATAGAGTCTTCCCAGAGTCCCCAGGTGGTAGCCCAGGAGCCCTGATTGTAGAGCTCTGGTTTCCCAGGCTTTGAGAGAATGCCTCTGCTATGTGCAGCCCTCCATGTGTGGTTGTTCAGCACAGCAGACTCCAGAGACCTACGTGGAGTGGAGAGGCCTCTCCCCCAGGTTGCCTCAGGTAAGACCTGAAGCCAGGTGCCTGTGGGGAGCTGCAGGGTCTCACGCCCAGGAAACAGTGACCGGGCTATGTCTGGGCAGTTGTTTGGGGTGTGGACAGAAGATTAAATCTCAGCAGCAAACAGAGCATCAGGCAAAGACGAGCAGAGATCTCAGGGGAGATTCTCCCCTTCTGGTAAGTGCACTGACACATCACCCCTAGGCCAGTGGGGAGGGTTGTTTCCTGGAACAAAGACTGAGTTAATAAGGAAAGAGCAAACTGAGTGTGCCAGGTGTTCGGGACAGCAGATGTGGTCAGCAGTGGACACCATCACTGTCACCACCACCACCCAGGAGGGGCCTGTCCCCTTTCATTTCCCATCTGATTTCTCTGCCAGATGAGAGGACAGGATGTGGGAGAGGATTCAGACTGGGGGCCAAGGTCCTGGCGTGCTGTTGGCTCTGACACCTCTCGCAGCTCGACTTTGTCCAAAGGATAGCTCAGGAAGGGGGCGAGTACGCTGGCACAGCGGCTCCTATTGCTGCTGCCTTGCCGGGTGCTGTGTGTCCCCTGACTTGCCCCCACGGGCCCACTCCCCCTGCAACCAAGCGTGTCCAAGTCCCTGAGTCCAGATCTCCGTGCTGGGGACAGACGGTGGCCCACTCTGGGACTCTCCACTGTCCATTGTCACTATTGTAAGACAATGACTGTTTCCTTCTTTCCTCACTTTGTGCCAGTGTCTGCCCAGCCCCCAGGGCTGCAAGGGGAAGGAGCCCAAAGAGATCCTGAAAGAGCTCAGAGCCGCTCTTCAGATCCAGGGTCTCTCACTGCCCTCGCTACGAAGCGTGCTTATGGGAACACCACAGGGAACGTGCTGGATGAAGTCAGGCAGGCCCCAGCCCCACGTCTGGCTCTGCATCCACTGGCTGAGAACCTGACCTGTCTGCATCTGGGCAGGCAGGTACGTGCCCCACCCACCCCACAGGCTCAGGGGCAGGTCCCCGTGAGCTGCTGCTGCTAAGCATTTCCAAGTTAGACAGGATTTCCAGGTATCCATGACTTTGATGGACTTAATGGAAGGCCACCACAAAACACACCAAACACCAGAGTTAACGGAAAGGTCTATTGGCGGGTGGGGGGAAACTCGACAGGCCGAAGGGGTAGAGCGAAAAGAGGGCAAAAAGGTGGAGAGGAGTCGAGAGACAGAGGTCAAGAGAGCACATGTGTTATAGGAAACAGGTCCTGTTACAGCCTTGCAGGAGGTAGGGAAGTGGGAGCAGCGAAACCCATTAAGGTGGGGCTGGAGCTGACGCTTGTGGTGGGCCTTTTGGTCACCTGACTTCTAGCAAGCCAGGCTGGGCTTAGGATTGAAGCTTACTGTACAAAATGGCAATGGGGCCAGAGCCTAAGGTGGTGCCCGGGGCTTAAGATGGTGCCTCAGATAAGACCACTGGTTTCTCTAACACTTAAAACACATTTCTTTATGCATGTCATTTCCAAACACCCAAAAGCTTTGTCTGAAAACGCTGGTTTTCTACTTCCTCTCCAAACAGAATCAGACAGCTTTGGGGCCAGTGTTGTGGTGTAGCTGGTTAAGCCTCTGCCTGCAATGCTGGCATCCCAGTGGATGGAAGATTTCTCTCTGTGTCTCTCCTCCAATCTCTATGACTCTGCCTTTCAATTTTTTTTTGAGTTTTTTTTTTAACTTTTATTTAATGAATATATTTCCAAAGTACAGCTTATGGATTACAATGGCTTCCCCCAATAACGTCCCTCCCACCCGCAACCCTCCCCTGTCCCACTCCCTCTCCCCTTCCATTCACATCAAGATTCATTTTCGGCCGGCGCCGTGGCTCAATAGGCTAATCCTCCACCTTGCGGCACCGGCACACCAGGTTCTAGTCCCGGTCGGGGCGCCGGATTCTGTCCCGGTTGCCCCTCTTCCAGGCCAGCTCTCTGCTATGGCCAGGGAGTGCAGTGGAGGATGGCCCAGGTGCTTGGGCCCTGCACCCCATGGGAGACCAGGAAAAGCACCTGGATCCTGGCTCCTGCCATCGGATCAGCGCGGTGCGCCGGCTGCAGCGGCGGCCATTGGAGGGTGAACCAACGGCAAGGGAAGACCTTTCTCTCTCTGTCTCTCTCTCTCACTGTCCACTCTGCCTGTCAAAAAAAAAAAAAAGATTCATTTTCTATTCTCTTTATATACAGAAGATCAGTTTAGCATACATTAAGTAAAGATTTCAACAGTTTGCTCCCACACAGAAACATAGAGTGAAAAATACTGTTTGAGTACTAGTTATAGCATTAAATCACAATGTACAGCACACTAAGGACAGAGATCCTACATGGGGAGTAAGTGCACAGTGACTCCTGTTGTTGACTTAACAAATTGACACTCTTGTTTATGGCATCAGTAATCAGCCTAGGCTCTTGTCATGAGCTGCCAAGGCTATGGAAGCCCCCTGAGTTCACCGACTCTGATCATATTTAGACAAGGCCATGGTCAAAGTGGAAGTTCTCTCCTCCCTTCAGAGAAAGGTACCTCCTCCTTTGATGACCCGTTCTTTCCACTGGGATCTCACTCACAGAGATCTTTCATTTAGTTTTTTTTTTTTTTCCCCCAGAGTGTCTTGGCTTTCCATGCCTGAAATATTCTCATGGGCTTTTCAGCCAGATCCGCATGCCTTAAGGGCTGATTCTGAGGCCAGAGTGCTGTTAGGACGTCTGCCATTCTATGGGTCTGCTGTGTATCTCACTTCCCATGTTGGATCATTCTCTCCCTTTTTTTTTTTTTTATCCTATCTGCTAGTAAGAGAGGGAAGAGATGTGCAATTCGGGACATGCTCAAGCTGATTTACCTCAAACAGTAGAGTTAGAAACATACCAGGGGATTCCAATTCAATCCCATCAAAGTGGCATGTACCAATGCCATCTCACTAGTCCCAGTGATCAATTTCTGTTCACAATTGATCATAATGATAGGACTAAGAACCAAAGGGATCATATAAACAAGAATAGCGTCTGCAAATACTAGCCTTTCAATTTTTTTAAAGATCTTAATTGAGAGGTAGAGTTACAGACAGTGAGAGAGAGAAAGGTCTTCCTTCCATTGGTTCTCTCCCCAAATGGCAGCAAAGGCTGGAGCTGTGCCGATCCGAAGTCAGAGGCAGGAGCATCTTCTGGGTCTCCCATGGGGATACAGGGACCCAAGCACTTGGGCCATCTTCTGCTTTCCCAGGCCACAGCAGAGAGCTGGATTGGAAGTGGAGCAGCTGGGACTAGAACCAGTGCCCATATGGGATGCCGGCACCACAGGCAGAGGATTAACCTACTGCGCCACAGTGCCAGCCCCTCAAATAAATTCTTAAAAAATATTTTAAAAAAGAGAGCCCTGTTTAAGGTGCTCTGAGGGTTTGGTGGCTGGAGCAGTAGCGTTACCTCCTAGAACAAAGCAGGACAGGGCTGTAGTACTTATTTGCTCCTTCCATTCATCATTTTTTCCCCCATAAACCTTTTATTTAAGGAATACAAACTTCAGACATTTCATAATTACAAGTTTAGGAACATGGTGATTCTTCCCACCATACCTGCCCTCTCATTTGCTCTCCTACCTCTCTTCACCCTCCCTCTCCTATTCCCATTCTTATTTTTTACTACAATCTATTTTCAATTAACTTTATACACATATGATTAACTCTGTTAAGAGTTCAACAAATAGTATGAGAAAAAACTGTTCCTCAACAGTGGAAACAAGGGCTGTTCAAAGTCACTGCATCTTGAAGTGTTAATTTCACTTCTATAGATTCCCTTTTAGGTGTTCCATTAGTTATCACAGATCGGGAGAGAACATACAGTGTTTGTCCCTTTGGGACTGGCTTATTTCACTAAGTATGATGTCTTCCAGTTGCATGCAAATGACTAGATTTCATTTCTTTTTTCTTTTTTTTTTTTTTTAACTGCTTTGTAGTAAGATTCTGCTTAGAATGCCCACATGTCACATTAGGTACCTGGGATTGAGTTCCAGCTCCCACCTGATTCCAGCTTCCTGCTAATGCACATCCCGGAAGGAGGTAGGTGATGACTCAAGTCCTTGGTCCCTGCCACTGACATGGGAGACCCAGATTGATTCTCTCTCTCTTCCTCTCTCTCTCCCTCCCTCTATCCTTCCCCCCCTCCCCGTCCTCCTTTCTTTTTGTCTCTCTCTTTTTCAAATAATTTAAATAACATTAAAACCACAGGGCAGGAGCCAGTGCTATGGCATACGAGGTTAAGCCTCTGCCTGAGGCACCTGCATCCCATATGGATGTGGCTTGAAGTCCTGGCTGCTCCACTTCTGACCCAACTCCCTATTAACAGCCTGGAAAAGCAGTAAAGATGGCCCAAGTGCTGGAGCCCCTGCAGCCACATGGGAGACTCAGAGCAGCTCCAGGCTTCAGATTGGCCCAGCTCTGGCCTTTGCTGCCATTTGGGGACTGAACCTTTCTCTCTGTCTCACCCTCTCTCTGTAACTCTGCCTCTCAAATAAATAAATAAATAAATAATAAATCTTAAGGAAAAAAGGGTAGAACCAAGATATCTAATTTTGTAGTTTAATTTTATTAAATAGGAAATCAACCATTAGAGTTTTATGTTCACCTGCATCCTTCAAGACGGCAAATACTTTGACAGTGGGATTTTCTACTGCAGAAAAGGAGGAAACACTCCCCCTAATTAAGTAAGCAGTGATCAAAGCAGAAAGATCCCACAGAAAGCAATGAATGCCTTTTGCTCCAGGCTGTCTCTGGAAAACCCTTCCACCTATCCCATCCCAAAAAATAAAAGGACAAGAGCTGGCTAATCACCTGCTTCTGGAGTGAAAGTTCCCAGCCTCACCATCACCATGATATACACCATTTCTTCTTTTTTTAAAACAAAAAGACTTATTTTATTCAAAAGTCAGAATTACAGAGAGGAAGAAACAGAGAGAGAGAGAGAGAGGGAGAGAGAAAGAGAGATCTTCCATTCACTAGTTTACTCCCTAGGTGGCCACTACAAACAGTACTGGGCCAGACAGAAGCCAGGAGCCGGGAACTTCTTCCAGGTCTCTCACGTGCATAGCCAAGGCCCAAGTACTTGTTAGATATTAGGTGGATAGATGATAGAGACAGATAGGTAGATAATAGGCAGGAAGATGATAGATTGATAGTTTGATGATAGATAAGTAAATAATACATAGATGATAGGTAGGTAGGTAGATAGAATGAACACTAGATAGGTACCATGCATGACCAAGACTGTCCTTGACCAGCTATAGCCAGGTCCCACTGAGCTCTCTGCTTGGCCAGGTCCAGCCTTGAGTTGCTTGCCTCTGTCCCGCTGGGGCCTAGTTGCAGCACTAACTCTGCCTCAACAGAATCTCCGCCTTGGCCATCTGGTCACCCTCCCTATCTGACAGAATTCCTCATCTCCACCCGCCCCAGTGCCTGGCCCTAGGACCTTCAGTCACCTGGCCTGTCCTCAGCACTATACTGTTGGGTCAGGTGCTATAGTTTGGGTGTGGTTTGAGTCTCCCTGAGGATTCATTGTTACTGGACACCTGGTCCCCAGGGCAGTGTTCATGGGAGGTGATATGGACATTCTAAGAGACAGAGTCTAGTGGGCAGTACTCAGGTCCCTGGGGGACTCCATGGGACTCCTTAGCAGGCCTTCAAGAGAGAGCTGTAAACCTGATCAGCCCCTTCCAGATCTCTCTCTCTCTCTCTCTGCTCCTGGGTGATGTGTCCACTTGCCCCTACAGGCACCCCTGGCAGTGCCACTGCCATTCACCATGTGGTCCTCACCAAAATGATGACACAAACACCACGCCCTTGAAGCTCCAAAGCTTTGGGCTCAATAAACCTCTTTTCTCCGTAAGCAGGCTACGCGAGTGTTTCCTTGCGGTAACACCAAGCTGACCAACACATCAGCTTCGCCAGTACCCCTACACCTGGCGCCGCCTCTCCGCAGTTTCCCTCCCAGGAGCACCAGCCTAATCCTTGGCTGTGAACCCCCACTTTTGCTTAAATTCCCAGGTGAGCCTTTCTCCACCCCACCTCCGACCCAGCTGCAAACTCCTTTACATCTAAGTTTGGATGCAGTGTTCCTGCATTTACAGAATCCATCCTGAAAGGTACCTTACCATTTTAACAAGTGTCAGATAACCGTTTCATAGAAACATCTGGAAAATGAAATTAAAAGGCAAATTTATTTTGGTGCAAAAAAAAAAAAATTGTGGAATTGTGCCTAGCTTTCTCACAATACACAGTTCCATGAACTTGTTGAAGGCTGCTGGCTCAGATGTCCCAGGAGAAATTTTTTTATTTTATTTGAAAGGATTACAGAGGAGAGACAGCGAGGTCTTCCATCTGCTGTTTCACTCCCCAAGTGGCTGCAAGGGGTCCCGGCCAAAGCCAGGAGCCAGGAACTCCATCGGGATCTCGCACGTGGGAGCAGGGGCCCAAACTCTTGGGCCATCTTCCGCTGCTTTTCCCAAGCCATGAGCAGACAGAGCTGGGTGGGAAGTGGAGCAGCCGGGTCTCCATTCGGCACTCACTTGGGATGCTCTGAGCCAATCCGCACAGTGGGGTCTTGATCAACCCTGGGGCACATTGGAACAAGTCTTTTTGGGGGGCAGAGCCTGGGTGTGTTTGTGGGTACGGTGCACATCAAGAGGCCCCTCAACATGGCCTGTGTTTTCAAGCCGCACAACTGTAGGATTTCGAAAAGGCCCTGTTGCCGAGTCTAACTCCAGCTCCTCCCGTAAAGGCAGCCTCTGATTGGCGGTTAACGGGAGCCATCTACCCACCAGCAGCCCTAACCACCAGCGCGCTCCCAGCCTCTCACGTGGTGAGCAACAGCACTGAAGGAACGTCGCCAACCTTGAGCGGCCGGCCCGGGCTGCACTTTTCCCCACTAGGAACCTGTCCCCACTGCCTCCCTCCCTCCCTCTCCTGCTAGCGTCTCCGAGTAAACCAGACCAGGCGCGCGCCTGCCGGTGCTGGGCGAAAAGCCTCTCAGGGTCGGGTCTCCACCGGAAGCCTCCCCGGCTCGGGGCGGCGGGCAGGGGAAGGGGCGGGCGCAGGCGGCGGCGGGCGCGGAGGATGCGTGCGGGGCTCCTGGGACTCTCGGCCCTGCTGCAGGCGGCCGAGCAGAGCGCGCGTGAGTGCGGCGCAACTTGGGGCCAGGCGCGGGCCTGGGCTCACTCCCCACCCCCACGACCCCCACCCACCCGACCCCAGCGCCGGAGGCGCAATGCCACCCCTTCCCCGCGCGGGCGGGCTGCTCCGGCTGCGCCCAGCGCCGCTGCACGCACCGTGGCTCCCCAACCCTGTCCTGGCGGATGCTTGTGGATGCGTGACTGCCCCCATCCACGCGGCTCTTCCACAGATGCATGGGACCCCCTCCCCAATGTATGCATGACTTCCCTCCCCCATGGGCCTCCCCCGCCAGATCTCAGCGGAGGACCCCCGCGGAGTCGGAGGGCACGAATCCCGCCTTTTCCTGCCGCAAAAGTTCCGCAAGATGCAGCGCGCGCGGGCCTGGGGGCGTCCTCCGCGCCGCACAAGGATGGGGAGGGACCTCGGGCAAAGTAGGGGATAGGACATGTCCGGACGCTGCCCGCTGGGGACCCCTAGGGCCGCGAGGAGCCCAGCCCCCGCCTGCCCAGGCGAGCAAGATGGCCACGCTTTTCGCGCCTTTCGCGTCTGAACTTGTAACCGTCTCGGGCCGCCCATCGCCAGGCCGCTGCGCCCTGACCGAGTTCCCGGCGGAAGCCAGGGACGAGAGGCACTTAAGGAGGCTCCACCAGCAAGATCCCCCGGGCTCAGCGCCGCCTCCCCAACGCGCACAGTGTCCGTGACCCCAGCAGGCGCTGGCTCCCAGCTGTGGTCGAGTTGGGGGCCCGTGCAGGAGGGTCCCTAAGCGCCTGCCGCGCCAGCGGGGGGGGGGGGGGGGGGGGGGGTTGAAACAGACCCTGGTGGGCCGGGTGAGAGGGGCGGGGGTCGGGGGCAGGCTGCGGGCCCTGCCCCCTCGCCGAGGTGCCGGAGGGCCAGCTGTACCCCCAAGCAGCAGTTTGTGTCGGTCTGGCCACTTTCACCTTTAATATGTGTGTTAGTGCTCCCAGTACCGCCACCTCCAGATAACCCCGTGCAGAGGTTGCACCGCACCCCTGACACGCAACAGGCCCATCTCTGGAGTTTGCATAGTGTTACGCTCAACTCCTGAGTTCCCCGAGAGGCTAAGGGATGAGAGTGAGGGCTGACTGGGGCGTCATGGATGAGCTCTAGGTAGCTGGGCCTCTGATTGGTCCCCAGCGCTCGCCAGCCTCCCTCAGGTTGGTCAGGCCAGCTCCCAGGAGTCTGGGTCTGAGGGTGGACTGGGTGTGACTTTGGGTTCCTGCAAAGTGCTCAGAACGGAGGCTGGCACTGAGATGTTAGCTGTAGGGCAGTTTGGGTCTTGCTGATTCAGGATCTTGGCTTAGACCCACCCTGCACAGCCCCCTTGGTTACTCTGTGCAGAGAAAGTGCAAGCCGAAGGAGAGACACTGCGCCTGAAGCCCACACCGAAGGCATTAGGTCAGGGCTCAGCTTCACCACCATGGGGGTCTTGAGGAGGCCAGGAAGCAGCTGGAACAATAGTAACGTGGCACAGACCTGGCAGGGAGTGACAAGTCAGGGTGACTGTGGAGTGTGGATCCTGTCTCCACTATGTCATTGCACCCTGCCATCGTGAAACAAAGCAGTCCCCAGAGAGGTCGCTCTGCTTTTGGTGGCATACACCAGGGCACCCTGCTATCCAGAACCCAGCAGCTCCGACTAGCAGACCAGACCCTGCAGAGCTCCTGGTGGTGGGGCTGTTGTATTGGTTGGGTACTGTTTTGAGCTTTGCTTCATTTATGAGATGGCCAATCCAGGTGTGGCCACAGAGGAGACAGCCGTCTGGGGAAGCTCGAGCCAGAGCTTTTGCTGAGGTGTCCTGGGAAAGTGGGATGGGCCCTTCTGAACAACTGTGGCTGACTGTGGGCTCTGGGCTACAGGGGCCCCCCGAGTTCCCTGGCCCCTGGCCCTGGAAGGGCCAAGCAGAGGAATATCACCTGCTGGGGCCTGGGGCCAGAGAGAGTCTCTGGACTGGCTGGTTTGCATCAAGGACACACTGCAGAGGGCAGAACTGGCTGGCAAGGAGGGGCTGTCTCTTCCCAGCTACAGTGGTTTAAGAAGTCAGCATATTGTAGTGTACAGAAAACCTAGGAATGTTCGCCATACGGTCTCCGGTCTCCCTCCCTCCTCTGGTGACCCACCCACCTCTGCCCTCCTTTCCTCTCCAGGGCTCTGCGCTGCCATTTACTACCTCGTGACTGGACGGCTCCTGTGGGGCTGGCTGGCCCTGTCCGTCCTCCTGCCCGGCTTCTTGGCCCAGGGCCTGAGCTACCTGTGGCTTCGAGCAGACGGGCACCCCAGGCATCGCTTGCTGCTGCTGCACCTCCTGCAGCTTGGCATCTGGAAGCGGTAAGCACCGCCAGCCTCCTGTCGCCCTGGGGCGCAGTCGCCAGAGTGCATTTCCCAGGTCGTGGGCGTTCAGGGTTAAAAGGATGTTCAGAGCCCCCACGTCACCCCCTGCTCTGACTCCGGCATCCGCTGGTCCAGCCAGAGCTTCTGGAGGGTCTCTGACATCAGGTCCAGCTCTTGCTGGACGCAGCTGTGACTTTGTGAAGATGGGAGAGCTCTTTCCGGTCTTCAGTCACCTTCCACTTGCTGTTGTTTCAATTTGGGGTCAGGCCTTTGGATCCATATAAAGCAACTTGTTTGAGGCAGCTTCAAGGAAACACTGGTTCCCTCAGTCCGGGCTGGTGGCATCGATGCAATGAACACAGACCAGACAGTGAGGCCGCCCTGGTGACATTGTCACAGGAAGAAATCATCTGGGGGCCAGGACCACATCTTTCCCATCAGAATGCCTTGAAAGATGGGTGTGAGGCCCATTGGGTGGCTTGTCTGAGGTCCCCAGGCCCCTGGATACAGACAGTTGTCAGAAGAGAGGTGGCAGTGAATTGACACAAACAGCACCTCTCAGCTCTCTGCTGCCCCCTAAGTCCGGGGGTTGGAGGGAATTTTGGAAAGGGGGAAGTGAAACCGTTGAGGCTGCTGTACTGCAGACACCCAGGGCTTGGGGGCGGGGTGGGGGGGGGATGCAGGTGGTGCTGTCTGTTCCAGCGTCTGTGCTTCAGGCTGCTCCCAGGACTCCCTCGCGGGGGCGCACACACCCCACGTAGCTGCAGTGTGAGCCATGGCGGACGCTCGCCCCACCCGGGGCAGAAGCTCAGGTCGGAGGGAGAGGGCGCCTCGGAGAGGCCGTGGAGCAGCCACCTGAGCTGGGTGCTGCATCTCTGAAGGCACCAAGAGCATACTTTGCAGCTCAGCCGTTTCAGCCACACCTGGGCTTCTGTGTCCTCACAGTGACGCTCAGAAAGGGAGCCACTCTTCTCCTGGGGAGAAGGCAGCAGGCAGCGGCCTTTTTCTGGCAGTGAGCACCTCCGCCGAGCACCAGCTGCCATTTTCGTGCCCTTTCCTGCTCAGCCCAGCCCAGCAATAAAACCAGAAGGGCCATGGGTCTGTGCTTGGCTTTGACCACACCGTAGTCATAAAGTATGAGCCCTCGAGGGCAGACGGCCTAATGGAAGACTGAATCATAGCTTATAGAGAGCTAAGTCAGTGTCACCTCTTGAGAGAGCTTCTGGAGTAACCGTCAGGTGCATCTCCTTCTGGGGGCCCCAGTCCCATCTAGTCCAGTGCCTCCACTGGAGTCCCCGAGGCCTGAAGCTGTCCACGTTCACACTGCCCTTGTCTTCCCGAGTGCTCTCAACAGCTTCTCCAGTGAAGCCGTGATTTCCTGTCACATATCAAAGACCTGGTATGGATAAGGGACATGAGATGTAAAAATTAGAAATTAGGAAAAAATACTGGTCATGCACATCTATTCTCATTTTTCAAAAGTTAAAGTGACTAAACAATGTACACATAATTTAAAAGGACAAAAAAAAAAAGAAGTGGGGAAAAGGGACACAATATTAGAACATAAGATACAGCCAGAACGTACGGTAACTAGATGTAACTGATAACAGCCAGGACAAGCACAAGAAGCCAGATGATTTGCAATGTTTCTGAGATTGCCAAAAAAAAAAAAAAAAAAAAAAACAGAAAACAGAAATGTCCTTCCTTGGAGGTGAGCTTTGAAAGAAAAGTAGAATGCAGCAGTTCTTACAAAGAAAACACTTGTAGCAAATCCCAGCTTTGCAAATTGCAGTTCAGCAAATGTGCCTGTAGGAGGAGCCAAAACAATTGTGTTTCCCACAATCCTGACTTGCCTAGTAATGGATCACTTTCACTGCAAAATAAAATGCAGAATTTAACAGCTGGAAAACCAAACACAAACCCCCTTAAGTAAAGTTGCTTAGAAAAACTGAAAGGATTTAAAACACAGTATATTCTTTTTTAATGTCACATAATACAAGCTACATTACTGTTAAGTCTGACTGTTGAAGAGAATGCAATATTCACAACAACTTGTTTAAACAAAGACAATTACTTTCTTTTTTTTTTTGACAGGCAGAGTGGACAGTGAGAGAGAGAGACAGAGAGAAAGGTCTTCCTTTGCCGTTGGTTCACCCTCCAATGGCCGCCGCAGCCGGCGCGCTGCGGTTGCCGCACCGTGCTGATCCGGTGGCAGGAGCCAGGTACTTATCCTGGTCTCCCGTGGGGTGCAGGGCCCAAGCACCTGGGCCATCCTCCACTGCACTCCCGGGCCACAGCAGAGAGCTGGCCTGGAAGAGGGGCAACCGGGACAGAATCCGGCGCCCCGACCGGGACTAGAACCTGGTGTGCCGGCGCCGCAAGGCGGAGGATTAGCCTGTTGAGCCGCGGCGCCGGCCCGACAATTACTTTCTACTACTTAGGTTTCTTTTTTCCAGTCTAGTGCCGTATGTCACCAACAGTTTTTTTAATCTAAGCCTGCAAATCCATTTGGAGATGGCATGAGATGATTGGAGAGTGTCTAACGTGCACATACACACATAAGCACATGCACATAAACACGTGCACATATAAACTCTGCATGGGTGGACATACATAGCATACATATACGTGTATTGTGCTCATTTCCACCAGCATACATACTTCTGTCAAAATCCTTGGCCTGCAATTCAGGGCCCTAATGCGCCTCACTGGGGCAGCTCATCCCACAACAGCTGCCTGGGTCTCCCGCTGGCCACAAGGAGAACCCCAGCACTTCTTCCCCATCTGGTCTTGGTGGCACACAGAGTTCTGCACTGTGCGGCTTCAGACAAGGCTTCTTCATCTTTGTGCCCTAAGAAGAGCCCACAGGGCACCTTGCAACGCACACCTGTTGAAGCAACCCACTCCCAGCCCAGGTCCAGGCTGCCTGCAAGCCTGGCTGTGCCGTCTGTCCCAGTTCCCTTGTCACACAGCAGCGCTGGCTCAGGGAAAGCACCCCATGTCCTGCCGCCCCCGTCAAGTCCTGGCTGGGGAAGGTGTGCACCCCAAGATTCAGGCGCTTCCTTCACAACTGAAGTCCATGGCTTGGAGCCGGCCTCGCCAGGGCCTCCTGGCCACTCCAGCGAGGACTCGGGGCTCTTTAGGTAGGCCTCCTAGTACAGGCCCTCGCCATCTGGCTCTGTGTCATGGCACCTTGCTCTGCTGCAGGCACTGGGACACCGTGCAAGCTGCTCTGTCAGAGGAGGGGCAGACTGCCCGCCAGGGTGCACTGTGGCTGCAGGAGGCTGACCTGGCCGCCCTCCGGCTCCTGGAGGCCCTGCTGCAGACCGGGCCGCACCTGCTGCTGCAAGCATACGTTTTCCTAGCCTTAGACTTCACAGATCCTGTGCCAGGTGAGTAACTTTCACCAAAGGGGCCAGACTCTGACTTCCAAGGGGCGGGGAGGGGAGCAGGAACTCTCCTGGCGAAGGTTTCCCCAGCGTGGGACCATCAGGGCACCCAAGCTCAAGTCCAGGATGATTGGCGGTGAGTTCATGGAGCCTTGGCATCCTCCCTGGGGCTTAAGTGCCAGAGTCAGCACGTAAGGTAGAAATTGTGCAGAGTCTAAATCTCCCCAAAAATACCCCCAGGAAGGCTGCTTGGTGGTAAGAGCAGCCCTGCCTCCATTTGCCACGTCTGCAGTCTCCTCGTCCCTCTGCAGAGTGGCAGCAGGCACCCCTGCACTCCCCTGCCCTCCCTCTCTGTGCAGTGTGATGGCCTGGGTTTGGTTCTCTCCTTAAGCTTCCTTCACATGGGGCCAACAGCAGAGTGCACAAGGGCTGCAGCCATGCTCAGAGCCCTACAGCATCCACTGTGTCTAAACCAGGCTTGGACGAGAAGGTTTGGGGGGCTAGGGGCCAGGATGCCTTCGCTAAAGGGCACAGAACAGAGCAGGCCTGTGCAGTGGGAATTCTGCCTGTGCCTCCTCATCTCTTCCCGGGCGTGGCCATGTGTGTCTGTGCACAGAGTGCTGACAAGACCCACACTCAGGGTGCTTGGTGAGGGAGGCGCCTGCACAACCAGGTTTCCGTAAGGGACTGGACGTGGCCGGAACACCGTGAGTCAGTCCTCCCATGCTGGTTGCCTGGGGACCTGAGGGACTGCTGTGTCTGCTTCCTTTCCAGGGGTGAGTGCCCTGCTTGCCTGGTCCTCGCTGTCCTGGGCCCTGGTGTCCTACACTCATCTCCTGGGCGCCGTGAAGCTGCACCACTGGGCCATGCCGTGGACTGCCCTCTTCTGCCAGCAGCTGTGGCGGATGGGCATGCTGGGGGCCCGCATCCTCACGCTGGTTCTGTTCTGCAAAGCGTACGGTGCTTGGGTTTTGGTGGTTGGAGGTAAGGAGAGCTTAGATCTGCTTGTGCACTGCTGTATAACAAGACACCCCCCCAACTGTATAACAGGACACCCCCATCCACTCCAAAACAAGACACCCTGCTCCCCTGTGTAACAAGACCCCCTACATCTGAGGGCCTTCATGGCCACCAAGACAGGTCCTGGGTGCTGCCTGGGCTCTGCCCAGTTCTTGCTTGGGGGCCCGTGTGGTTGCAGAAGGGAAGCAGTGTAGGACTCACAGGGAGGTGTGAGAGGGCTGCATGTACAGATGGCATCTTCATGCTCATGTCTTCTTAGGGCCTCTCACTTTGGCAAAGCCACCTGGACTCATCCTTGACAGCTGAGCTTTCCAAGAGAGAGGAAGTGGAAACACTGGGCCCAGGGGCAGGCATTTGACACAGCCATTGCTGGGGAGGCCACACCCGTCTCAGAGGGCCTGGTTCACGGCCCCACCTCTGATCCAGCTTCCTGTTAATATGTACCCTGGGGGCCGGCGCCGCGGCTCACTAGGCTAATCCTCCGCCTAGCGGCGCCGGCACACCGGGTTCTAGTCCCGGTTGGGGCACCGGATTCTGTCCCGGTTGCCCCTCTTCCAGGCCAGCCCTCTGCTGTGGCCCGGGAGTGCAGTGGAGGATGGCCCAGGTGCTTGGGCCCTGCACCCCATGGGAGACCAGGAAAAGCACCTGGCTCCTGGCTCCTGCCATCGGATCAGCGCGGTGCGCCGGCCGCAGCGCGCCGGCCGCGGCGGCCATTGGAGGGTGAACCAACGGCAAAAAGGAAGACCTTTCTCTCTGTCTCTCTCTCTCACTGTCCACTCTGCCTGTCAAAAAATAAAAAATTAAAAAAAAAAAAATATGTACCCTGGGAAGGTGGCAGGTGCTAGCTCAGGTAGTCAGGCCCCTGCCACCCACATGGGAGACCTAGATGGAGTTCCTAGCTCCTGGCTTCAGCCTGGCTCATCCCCCACTCTTGGCAGGTAAATGGGGAGCTAGGCCCACATCACTTCTGGTCAAAGGGGTCAAGGCCAGCCCAGACTCAGAGGAATAGACTCCAGCACACAGGGAGTGTCCAGGGCAGGAAGGAATGTGCACTGGCTCTCCCAGCTAGCTCAGGGGCCTGGGGCCGCACAAAAGACTGCTGGGTCCTGGACGGACTGTTTCTATAGCAAGCTGTCACTGCAAGAGGGAATCACAGGTCCCCACCTGCTCAGGCCCCCTGCAAGTGTCACACAGCGCTGCTGTGTACGACACGTGTGCTCCAGGAGCACCCTATTCCCTTTGCATGACGGATCTGACATCTCTGTTTCAACTACGACAGCTCCAAGCTCCCTCACCCCTCAGTGCAGCCCCACACGGGTGGGAAAGGTGATGGCACGGAGACTCCTGGATGGGACCTTGGGTCCCTGCCAAGTAGCCCGGTCTCCTGCGGGGCATGAAGGAACTGAGCACACTTGTTCTAGGAGAACGGGGGACACTGGGGAACACCTGGCCCCGGGCCCTGCGCAAACGTTTAATTCTCTTATTAGATGAAGAGAGAATTTTCTGGGAAAAACTATGCTCCTAAAAAAAAAGATTAGCAATTTTTTATTCATTTGTTGTAAAACTCAGCTTGAACTCTAGAACGTTATTATTCGTCATTACAGCAGGGCCACGTGAAGCTCTTTCCTTTGGGTGTGGGAGTTTTTAGTAGACAACTGGCTTTATTACTGCCTCCGTAATCACTTTGCAGAACCAAAAGGGCATAAAAGCGTAACATCTGGTACGTGTCACTGATGCCAGTCTTTGTGTTGACATCTCCCCTGTGGCTTGAATACCCCTGGCAAGGACCAGGTGAGACCCCACAGGCGAAGATGAAGTATCCTGGTCCCTTTGGGTTCTGAGGTCACTGCTTGGATGCTGAGTCAGCTGTGGTCTCAGCAGAAAGGGGTACCCCATGCCTGGTGTCTGAGGCCTCCCCTCATCCCCTCCCCGGGCTCCCTGGTGTCTGAGGCCTCCCCTCATCCCCTCCCCTGGCAGCCCTGGTGTCTGAGTCCTCCACTCATCCCCTCCCCCGGCTCCCTGGTGTCTGAGTCCTCCCCTCATCCCCTCACCGGGCTCCCTGGTGTCTGAGGCCTCCCCTCATCCCCTCCCCGAGCTCCCTGGTGTCTGAGTCCTCCCCTCATTCCCTCCCCCGGCTCCCTGGTGTCTGAGTCCTCCCCTCATCCCCTCCCCGAGCTCCCTGGTGTCTGAGTCCTCCCCTCATCCCCTCCCCCGGCTCCCTGGTGTCTGAGTCCTCCCCTCATCCCCTCGCCGGGCTCCCTGGTGTCTGAGTCCTCCCCTCATTCCCTCCCTGGCAGCTCTGGTGTCTGAGTCCTCCCCTCATCCCCTCCCCCGGCTCCCTGGTGTCTGAGTCCTCCCCTCATTCCCTCCCCTGGCAGCCCTGGTGTCTGAGTCCTCCCCTCATCCCCTCCCCGGACTCCCTGGTGTCTGAGTCCTCCCCTCATCCCCTCCCCGGGCTCCCTGGTGTCTGAGTCCTCCCCTCATTCCCTCCCCGGCTCCCTGCTGGGCCCTGACCTCTGCGGCCCCTCTCCAGGTGCCCACTGGCTGGGGATGACGTTCTGGCTGGTGGCCCAGCAGAGTGACATCATCGACAGCACCTGCCACTGGAAGCTGTTCAACCTGCTCGTGGGCGCCGTGTACGTCTTCTGCTACCTCAACTTCTGGGACAGTCCTTCCAGGAACAGGATGGTCACATTCTACATGGCAAGTGCAGTTCTAATTTTTATGGTGTCTGCAGCATGTGGAGGGCTTGTGGGTGAGCATGAGTGCAGGATGCGTGCACTCATGTGCATGTGTCTATGGAAGAAGGAGTAGCTTAGTTTTAGTAGAAATTCCCAAAGCAATTAGTTTTGAACAGAGATGAGACTCTGAAAATTAGTGGCCTGACATCCAGTTGCTGCCAGTCACTGTATATGGTGATGTCTTCCAGCTGTTAAATGCCATGGGAGTGCCACTGTACCAGGCCATCTATACCACGTCCTTGTTCATCAACTCAGTTTTTATCATGTGCTCATTACCAAGTTCCAGGCAAGGGCCAAGCCAGCTGTGGGAAACATCAAGTTTGCCCAGTGCCTGTGTACAGGTTGCTTCTAGTCCTGAAGAAGAGATGTCTGCCTCTTTTTGTTTTTTTTAATTCCCATTTGGTAGATAAGCATACACCTCAATGACCGAAACAGAAGGCAGGCTACAGGAAAACAGATGGCAGGAGAGGAAAAATGGGGCTCGTGGACACTCCCCAGCCTCGTTTCCCATTGGGCTGCCCAGAGACACTTGTGCTGGAAGGTGCGAGTGGAGGCGATGGCAACGGCACAGGACAGACAACAGAGCCAGGGCTTCTGGGCGTGCATTTGAGAGTCAGGCTGGCTCAGGCCTGTCGCAGTCGCCTGCTGACTCCGATCAAGATCGGAAACTCTCCTAACCTGCTTATTGGTCAGCACATTGGGAATAAGTCCCCTGCCTCCTACTGTTCATGAAGATGAGGAGGGATCCACCCGCCTTTCGGGGTCGCTGTGAAGATCAAATACAGTGACAGGCACACATAGCTTGGCACAAAATAACCAACAAGCAGTGGCCAATGTCCTGGGGAAAGACGCAGAGACTCTCGGGGAGGGGCAGGATGGAGAGTCAAGCAGTTGTAGGAGGCGGAGAGCAGCTGCTGTCTGGGAAGAGGTGAGCATCGTGGCCACAGAGCCAGGCAGACCTAATAGGACTTGCCAAGCCTCAGCTTCCACAACTGCGAACCAAGGGCAGTGATGCACATTTCATCCTGCAGGGCTGAGGAGAGGGCACGCTCGGAGTGACAGGGCTTCTGCATGACCTGAAGGGGCAAACATCAACAAGGGAACACACTGCAGGGAGGTACAAAGAGAGCCAGAAGTGAGATGAGGAAGAGACGCACATAATGGCCCAGCTGGCTCTGGTCTCGCCAACAGCCGGAGTCAGCCCGGTTGAGGAGCCAGGGGCCAACTCTTCCCAGGGGGGCTCACGGGAGGCCCGGAGGGAGACTGGCTCCCTCCCACACTCTGCACTTGGCACGATCCCTGTGTGTTCACTTTCTCAGCAACAACCAAGGCTCCCCTGGGGAACTGACCACAGCTAGGCCCCTGCTCCCCTGGAGCGGGGACATTTCACCTCCAGGCCCCAGGGGAAGCACCGGGTCGGCCGTGGGCTCCAGACAACGCTCAGAGAGCATGAATCACAGTAAGCAGACTTGGATGAGTCCCCTCTCCACTGTGACTTGCTTGCGTGCCCTCACGGGGTGGGGAGGATCCCAGGAGAGCTGGGGAGCTCCACGTGGGGGTGAAGACCACGTCCACATTCCAGCTCCTCTCCCCAGCACCCCCCCACACCCGACAGGCACTGCTGTCCCTGGTAGAGGCACCAGAGCTTTGTCCCCACAGAAAGTCCCTTCTTTCATACACTGTGTTCCATCAGTGACAAACGACTTAATGTCTCTTCTGCTCTTTTTCTTCTTCCAAAAGCAAAGAGAGAGAGAGAGAGAGAGAGAGAGAGAGAGAGAGAGGGGAGGGAGGGAGGGAGGGAGGAATTAAGGAAGGAAGGGGGAGGGGGAGGAAGGAAGGCTGGGAGTACATCAAAAGGTTTAACACTTTGCTTAAATCCCGGAAAACACATCCGCAGCCCCACGCAGTAACCACTGGAGTCCTTCTCTCACGTGTTCACTCAGCAAACGTGTGGAGCTTTTTGTATTTACAGTCCTGTGCAGCCTCTGTGTCTTCCCTGTTTTTGGGTTCAGACCTTGGGAATAACCGTGAAGCCGTTAGTCAGTGTCAGCCATGGTTCTAAGCTCATTGCTAGATGAAGCCCATTGTGCAGATGAGGAAACTGAGGCTTGTACACAAGGATCGGGCAACCTGCCAGTCAAATCCAGCTGGGCTGATGCTACGATGGCCCTCAACTACCAGGCCACCGTGCCTGGCAGCGGCTCTGGGAGGGAGCTGGGGCCTGCAGTGCAGCCACTCCTCAGCATGGCCGGCTGCAGAGGTACCCAGTGCCTCCCAGAGTACGGTTTCCCAGGCCCCTCCTCACAGACCCTGGCTCCGCGGGCCTGAGCAGGGCCAGGAATCCGTGCTTCTGAGGCCCCTCAAGTCGTGCTGCTGAATGGCCCAGTTGGAGAGACAGGACCTGGATGCACCTCCCTCTGCACAGGTGGAGGCTGGCCGGCCTCTGCTCTGCATGGCTCTGAGTATGAGAGGGCCTGGCTCCCTGCCTCTGCCCATCTGGGGGCTGCATCCAGCTTCTCCCATGACCAGAAATGGAATTAGACACCACAGGGTGAGCTGGTCAAGGCTCAGAAGCCATCAGGGCAGCCTTCGGGATCAGAGACTGGACATCACATGGGAACGAAGAGGCAGAGAAGGCAGAGCCAGGGCGGGGTAGGGTGGAGGGCTTTGCGAAGGGGATGTTGGAGCCAAGGGCTGAGGGGTGAGCGAGTTTTCCCTGGAAGAAGGCAGGCAGGGCTGGGGCATTCGGGCAGTGCTGCAGGAGCAGTCTGAGGCCGTGAAGGGTCAGGGTATCTGGGGACGGTGCAGGTGGCGTGAGGTGCACGGGTCTGCAGCAGTTACTGCTGCAGGGAAGAGTTGGGTTTGAGTTCTGCAGAGGAGCCTAGCGTTTCAAAGGGACCGGGAGGCAGGGCTTGAGCAGTCAGGGAAGTGGAAATTTACAAAACACTGGGGGCGTAGCTCATGGGAGCACCCTACCTGGGCCTGTTCTTCAGGCACCAGAGAAGAGACAAACTTCCTATGTGGCTACGGCCGGGGGCATGGACCCTCTGGTGCGAGCCAGGCCCCACGGGCTGGGGCAGGGGCCTCTGCATCCTGGACCTCACAGAGACCGCACTCAGTTCCACGGGAGGATGCTGTGGGTGGTGGAAGACTGACATTTTGAGGCACAGGGAGCTGTGCTAAGGAGCCCCGGGGGGATCTACCTGGCCATCACCAGGTTTGTGCTGACAGATTTTCCCAGCAGGAACCCCCTGGGGGCTGCAGCGGCCATGCCAGGGACACGGCCTAGACTGCCAGGGACTCTGCTGGTGCGTGTTCTCTTGGTGTGGGAGGTGGCTGGATCACGTGTGCCAGGGTCGGCTGTTCTCGGCGGCCTTGCTCAGGAGGCTCGGCGGAGGCTGGAGAGGGCCGGCCCACAGGGAGACTGTCCGTGGAATGTCAACTGGGGACAACAGGTTGGAAGGTGACCCTGAGGACGGAAATCAGAGCTAACCGATCAGCAGTGCTACCCGTGCTATCCGGGAGGGGACCCCAGAGTCCCGAGTCCTGAGGGGCTGTTTCTAGGCACATGAGGAGTGATGGCCCACCTGTCAGAGGGAGCAGATCGCCGTGGCAACGGGGCAGAGGAGCAACTGCCCAGACAGCAAGCAAAACAGCCAGAACCCAGCCAAGACGGCAAAGAGGGGACAGGAATTTAAACCAACAGTGCAGGCAGCTGATGGGAGTGGGGCGAAGCAGCCCCAGGCTCCCCGTGCTGGGCAGTGCCTCTTGGCTCTGAAATGCTGCTTACTGGGCCCAAAGAAGTGATGAGGGTGGGTGTTCTCGGGGTTACAAAGAAGGATCCTGAGGAGGTTGTCTTAGATCCTTACCTGTCTGAATTTTCGGGGACTGAAAGGAAGCTAGTGAGTTACCCGGCTGAGCCATCCACAGACCTTCAGCCTGGGGTATGGAACTCAGAGCTCAGCCACCTTACCGTGGCTGCAGGGCGGTTTTCTCAGTTTTCCAGGGGTTTCCCAGCAGCCAGGGGTTCTCACTTTCATGACGAGAGCCCAGCGCTGCTATAAGGCGGCTGTCGGGGGGCTCTGTCCCACGGTGAGATCTGATGGGCTCCAGGCACCTTTGGGGCAGGCTCAGAAGAGCTTTGACATCGGGCCACTCAGGCATATTAAATGCACATTTGACTCCTAAGATTTTTAGCTTACAACAGGTTTATTGGGAAATGAACAAACTAAATGAACAAAATAAAGCAAACACACTTTAAGTCAAGCAGCCCCTGTATAACCTACAAATTACGTTGTTCTTATTCATTTTAATAAAAAGTACGCTTTCATATTTAAAATCGGAAACTGAAGTTAATAAGCCAACCAGGAAGGGAGCACAAGGCTGAGGAATGAGGTCAGCATTTTGGACCAGCGCCAGGCAGGCACCGCTGCTGCCACCTGGTGGCCACAAGACAAATGGACTATTTGAAGGGAAGGAAACTGCTTAGGAGGTTGTCACGAGGGGCTCTGATTCCAGCTTACAGGACTCAGTGGCCCTGCAAACTCTGCAGACACATCCCTGACTGGAGGGACACAGCAGAAGATGAGTGACGGGGCCTTCGCTTTCCAGTGCACACGCGACTCAGGGCAGTTTAATGAGCCGACTCTCAGTGGGGCTGTGGCCCGGCTTGGGCCCTGGGACGAAGGGAGGAGCGGGGAGCTCGAGAGCCTCCAGGCGTGCACCTGGCCAGGTGTGGTGGTGACCGCCCCTTGCTCCCACAGGTGATGCTGCTGGAAAACACTGCCCTTTTGCTGCTGGCCACGAACTTTCTCCAGGAGGCGTTACAGACCAGCCTGTGGACTGTAGCGGGGGCCCTGTCTGGATTTGTGACTGGTAAGACCCAGGGGTGCCTGCTTAGCCACACCGCTTCCCTAGCCTGGTTTTCTTGTTTCTGTTTTCATTAAGATTTACTTATTTATTTGAAAGTCAGAGTTACAGAGAGAGAGGGAAACACAGATAGATCTTCCATCCACTGGTTCATTCCCCAGATGTTCACAACGGCCTGTGCTGGGCCAGGCTGAAGCCAGGAGCTTCTTTCAGGTTTCCCACGAGGGTAGCAGGAACCCAAACACCTGGGCCATCTTCCTCTGCTTTTCCCAAGCCATTGGTAGGGATTTGGATCGGAAGTGGAGCAGCCAGGACTGGAACGGGCACCCATATGGAATGCTGGCGTCACAGGTGGCGGCTTAACCTGCTACACCACAACACCAGCCCGTGGATCCATCATTTCTGACATGGAGGGGCAGTGGCGCTGATTGTCCCAGCAATGACTGAGCTAGGAAATCGCCCTTAGGCCAGTTTCCAAGGGGGGACAGAGCCCTGTGATGTCATGGAAGCCCATGTGAGTCTTGAATACAGGAAAGGGAGGCACAGAGGAGGTTTAGTGACTCCCAGAAGACAGGACACTCGATAAGTGGTGGGGCTGGGATGCAATCCAGCTCCAGCGTGGGCATCGGCACAGTGCCAGCAGCCTGAGGGCAGCATCGCGGCCCAGGAGCGATTCGCCCAGGCACCAGTCAGCGCGAGCTCCGCGGGGATTCCTCTGCTGAGTTGATGCTGACCCTCTCCCCTCCCTCAGCAGGCTTCACCCATCGGCCTACCCCGGGGCCTGTCTTGGAACTGTCCAGCACGGTGCCTGGCCCATCCCACGCAGTCCTGTGCTTCTGAAACATGGTCCAGTGCAGAGCTCCCTGCTGGCACCAGCTCTCAGCCTGAGCTCCTGCTCTCGCCCCAGAGGCCCTGCTCAGGTCACCCACGCTCTCAAGGTGGCTCCCACAAGTGACCGAGGCTCACTCGGGACAGCCCGAGCCTCAGAGAAACGGGACGTGAGGCCTGCAGGGTCCTTTCTGCACTTGCAGCACCAGAGGTTGGCCTGGCCAGTGTGAGCAGCCGTGACCAGGGAAGGGAATGACCTTGACACTGAGCATGTGGGGAGAAGAAGGTCCATGAATTGTGGCCTTCTGGGCTTCGAGCTCTGACCCCTGTGTGTGAGAGGTCCTGGGTCCTTGCCTTGCAGAGCTCCAGGTGACTGAGCAGAGGCCTCCTTTTCCAAATCAAACCTTTTCTTTGACGTAGTCTCAGTTTTGCTTTGTTTTGTTTTCTAAGATTTATTATTTGAGAGGCAGAATTACAGAGAGGGAGGGAAAGACAAAGAGAGAGAGAGGTCTTCCATCTGCTGGCTCTCTCCCCAGATGGCTGCAACAAAACCCCCAACTCCCTCTGGGTCTCCCATGTGGGTAGCAAAGTCCCGAGTACTTGGGCCATCCTCCACTGCTTTCCTAGACACATCAGCAGGGAGCTGGATTGGAAGTGGAGCACCTGGGACTCAAACCATTGCCCATACGGGATGCTGGTATCACAGGTGGCAGCCTGCCCCGCTGCACCACAGCATCAGTGAGACAGCTGTAGTGTAAAGTTACAGTAGAGAGTCCCTGTGGCCATTACCCCTTTCCCCAGTGGTACCAGCTTGTAAAACTAGGATGGCTTCACAGCCTGGTGGGGTAACACGGTCAAGACTGGGAGAGCTCTGTGACCACAGGGCCCTGTTCGGTGCCCACTTCCTCTCACCCACGCCCCCAACACTTTCTCAACTCCCAGCCACCAATGCCTTCTCCACCTCTGTAGTGCTGTCACCCTGAGAGTGCTGTGGAGGGGACCACCCATCTGCAGCCCCTGGGGGCTGGTTATGCTCCCTCTGCACGGTTCCCTGAAGCCATCCGGCTTATTCTGTGCATCCACAACTCCCTCCTTTTCAGGGCTGAGCGGTGTCTGTGGCACATCTGGATGGTCCCTCCTTAAACACTCACTTGAGTAGCAGGGGTTGAGTTCCAAGCTGCTTGTGCACACACAGGGCCCAGAGGAAGCTGAGGACCAGCTTCTATGGCCCAGCTCACGCTCGCCTGGGTGGGCCGGCTGTACTGAAGGGGCTCTGCCAGCTGCGGGTCTCACCACTCTGTGTGATACAGAGTTTCTGGTTCATGGGGGTACAGCAGACACCCGGGAGGGAGCACAATGCTTGGGAAAGGAAAATGTCCTCAGACGGCCATGGGAGAGCTGAGCTTGCTGTTCCCTCACCTTCCAGTAGGCGGAGCTAGCCGCAGCCCCCGTGGGAACCCTCCTCAGGCAGGTCCTGGGGAATGACAATGCAAAGGAGCACGGGCTTCCTGTGGCATCCAAGCCCCCACCCTTCCTGGATCCCCTCCACCGACCGGCAGCTACTGCATGCCGGCGGGGGCTGCATGTGACGATGACACGGCCTCTCGGAAATCTACTGCCACTGAATCAGTGCTGATCGGGGGCTTGGTTCATCTTTCCTGGGCTTGGTGGAGCTGTCTCACTGTCAGGGAGAGGTGACAGCGTGTACAAATCATGAGCGCAGTGCCTGCTGTGAGGACCAAGAACTTGCAAGGATTCACCACCATGTCTCCAGTTCAAGCCCTGCCAGTCACCAGCTGTCTGCTCCCCCCTCCCAGTCCTCATCCCCCACAGACACTGAGTGGGTCCCCAGGAGTGTCCTTCAGGCCCCGGCTGCCCTGTCCTGGCGCCCTCAGGGCCTTCGCCCCGCACTGATTTCAGGTCTTGTGCTGTTTATAACACGCACCCTGAATGCAGGCACTTGATTCAGCGCAACAGGAAACTGGAAATAACGTGGGAGGCTTACTGGAACGCTCTGCTAAAGAAATTATTGCAGCAGTCAACACTTCTGATCAAAATAAATTAAACTGACAACAATGCGATTAAGATGTTTATGCACAAAGGAAGTGTTGTTGTTGCTCATGGAAATTCCTTGATACAGGGTTTGGACACAGACCATTAACCTCTGCCTAGCTCCTGCTTGTTTTTAAGGATATTTCTTACCTCTTCGCATCCTCTGGCTTGGGAAGAACCCATCAATCAGAGTGTGGATGGTGAAATCCTGAGTATTTGGCCTAGAAATATTTGAAAGTAGGATGAGCATTCCTCCCAAACGTCTCTACAGGCGTGCACTCACACAGCCACATGCACTCAGATGAATATTCTTCCAGATGTCTCACACACACGTGTGCATCCACACACATGTGCACTCACACAGCCATGTGCAGATGAACATCCCTCCAGATGTCTCAGACACACGTGCACTCAGATGAACGCTCCTCCCAGACATCTCACACACATGTGCACCCGACCATGTGCCAGTGATCGTTCCTTTCAGACATCTCACACATACATGTGCACTCACACAGCCATGTGCAATGAACATTCCTCCAGATGTCTCACACACACGTGTGCATCCACACACGTGTGCACTCACACAGCCATGTGCACTCAGATGAACGTCTCTCCAGACATCTCACACACGTGTGCATATGCACAGCCATGTGCAGATGAATGTTCCTTTGAGACGTCCCACATACATGCACTCACACGTGCGCACTCAGATGAACGTTCCTCAGACGTCTCTCACACGCGCGCACTCAGGTGAACGTTCCTCAGACCTCTCACACGCGTGCACTCAGGTGAACGTTCCTCAGACGTCTCTCACACGCGCGCACTCAGATGAACATTCCTCAGACGTCTCTCACACACGTGCACTCAGATGAACGTTCCTCAGACGTCTCTCACACGCGCACACTCAGGTGAACGTTCCTCAGACGTCTCTCACACGCGCGCACTCAGATGAACGTTCCTCAGACGTCTCTCACACGCGTGCACTCAGATGAACGTTCCTCAGACGTCTCACACGCGTGCACTCAGATGAACGTTCCTCAGACGTCTCTCACACGCGCGCACTCAGATGAACATTCCTCAGACGTCTCTCACACGCGCGCACTCAGGTGAACATTCCTCAGACGTCCCTCACACGCGCGCACTCAGGTGAACGTTCCTCAGACGTCTCACACGCGTGCACTCAGATGAACGTCCCTCAGACCCCTCACATGCGTGCACTCAGGTGAACGTTCCTCAGACGTCTCTCACACGCGCGCACTCAGATGAACGTTCCTCAGACGTCTCACACGCGTGCACTCAGGTGAACGTTCCTCAGATGTCTCTCACACGCGTGCACTCAGATGAACATTCCTCAGATGTCTCTCACACGCGTGCACTCAGATGAACATTCCTCAGACGTCTCTCACACGCGCACACTCAGGTGAACGTTCCTCAGACGTCTCTCACACGTGCACTCAGATGAACGTTCCTCAGTCGTCTCTCACACGCGCGCACTCAGATGACCGTTTCTTCAGACGTCTCTCACACGCGTGCACTCAGATGAACGTTCCTCAGACGTCTCTCACACGCGCGCACTCAGGTGAACGTTCCTCAGACGTCTCTCACACACGTGCACTCAGGTGAACGTTCCTCAGACGTCTCTCACACGCGCGCACTCAGGTGAACGTTCCTCAGACGTCTCTCACACGCGTGCACTCAGATGAACGTTCCTCAGACCCCTCACATGCGTGCACTCAGATGAACGTTCCTCAGACGTCTCACATGCGTGCACTCAGATGAACGTTCCTCAGACGTCTCTCACATGCGTGCACTCAGATGAACGTTCCTCAGACCTCTCACATGCGTGCACTCAAGTGAACGTTCCTCAGATGTCTCTCACACGCGTGCACTCAGATGAACGTTCCTCAGACGTCTCTCACACGCGTGCACTCAGATGAACGTTCCTCAGACCCCTCACATGCGTGCACTCAGATGAACGTTCCTCAGACGTCTCACACGCGTGCACTCAGATGAACGTTCCTCAGACGTCTCTCACACGCGCGCACTCACATGCATGCACTGCACCAGCTCAAGTACTCAGCTGGAGCAGCCTTCAAGGAAGCAGGCCTAGGGTCACTGCAGCTGAGCTCCGTTATTTCATTTTCAGTTTAGAACTATTTGCAGCTGACAGGAGCTAGAACCTACTTAACTGCCCCTAAAATTCCCAGTTTCGCTGGAGCTCCCGGACTGACGTGTTGTTTGCCAGGCTTCAGAACACACAGCCTTGAGCTCCTTTCTCTTCTCTTCTCCAGGCAGCGTCTCCTTGGTCATTTATTACAGCCTGCTGCATCCAAAGTCCACAGACGTCCGGCAGGGCTTCGTCAGGAAGTGCTGTGGCGTTGCAGCGGATGAGAAAGCAGAGGGACCATCTTCACCCCGCACTGCGGCCCTCGCTGGAGAGAGGTCGGGCCCGAGCCGAGAGGAAAGATACGAGCTCAGAAGTCTGGAGGAGCCCCCCAGCCTGGAGACGGGCCCTCCAGAGGCTGGGCTGGGGGGCCAGATTTCTGGGGAGGACTCATTCCTCAGTCACCACCACTGGCTGCTGGTGAAGCTTGCCCTAAAAACAGGAAACATGTCTAAGATCAACGCGGCCCTTGGAGATGACCGTCCTGGCTGCTTTTGTGGCCCTGCATGGGCATCGAGTCCATGCTGCAGCCTGCAGGGGAGGCCCCTGGTCTCCCAGCCAGAGCTCCCATCTGCCATCCACAACCCCTCAGCCATAGAGAATGTCCGGAAGGCAGAGGCTGGCCCCTGGGAAACCTCCAGTTACATCTCCTTTGCCAGTGATCCTCAGGACGTCATGCCTGGCCAGGGGAGGGAGGACAGCCCAACGGAGGGACCTGGGGCTGTTCCTGGGACACAGAGGAGGGATGCAGGTGGGCAGCCGGGACAGGAGAGCACCACAGTGTACTTCAGTGCCACCGCAGAGGGGACTGCGTCCTCACCCCAGGAAGGCAGCCCAGAGACTCCACAGACCTCCCATGCTGGGAGACAGGGGAAGAGCATCCCCCTGCAGCCGGCCTCACCTCAGCCCACTGCTGGGCCCTTTCCCATCACCGTGGCCAACATCAGCCCCATCCTAGGTGTGGGCCCATGCGGGAGCTTCCGCCCCAGTGCCACCTCTGCTGGGAGAGCCCCCAGTAGCTCAGAGCATGGGGAGCAGCAGGAGCCCGCAGGGGACCTAAGTCATCCTGCTGCTGTTGGCACACTCCAGTCACTGCCGAAGATGAACCTGAGACCTGCCGACCAGCCCTGCTGCACGTCCACCCCTAAGTCTGAGTCTGTGCAAAGGGACAGTGGCTGCAGGGCCAGGGTAAGGCACGAGACAAGCTTTTTCATCTGACCACAGTCCATGGGATGAGCCGACAGGCCAGCCAGGCAAGCTAGTCATTGGGCATGGTGAGACGAGACATGCCACTGTTGACACCTGCGACTTGGACACACCTCTTCCTCGCTGGCTGTCCCTCTGCACACCTGGAGGTCATGGGGCTAGGCGACTTCTACCATTCTCTCTAACTCAGTGTGGCCAGGGGCAAAAGGCCTCCATTCCCCATTCTATGTTTTTGCTTTGGCTTCTAGGAAACTCTACTGTAAAACCCAGGGTCCATTTTTTATACTGGATTCTTACTACAACCAGCTGTTCTTGACACCAAGAGGGCTATTAGGCTATTTTTTAAGTGTATTCTGCCTGCATTAGTTTATGAATCTCATGGTAAGTGCAAGCCGCTTCTGGAAGCAGTTGAAGACTACGCACATGACCAACAAAGGAACTGAAGGCACAGTGGTCACTGTGAGGCTTCCCCACTCCCTGCAAAGCCTATATGACGTTTTCTTGTTAAACATGGGCCAGCCCGTGGTTCCTCTGTCAGTTCCCACTACTGCTTAACTGTCCAATTTCTCTATCTCCAAACTTGGCTCCCTCATCTGTTTGATGTGGAATATGGTCCATGGGGTTTTTGTTTGTTTGTTTTTGAAGTGATAGAGACAAAAAGAGATCTTCCATCTGCTGGTTCACGCACCCCAAATGGCTGCAACAGCCATAGCGGGACCAGGCCAAAGCCAGTAGCCTGGAGTTCCATCTGAGTCTCCCATGTGGGTGGCATAGGCCCACATAACTGGGGCATCTGCTGCTGCTTTCCCAGGTGCATTAGCAGGAAGCTGGATAGGAAGCAGTGCAGCTGGGTCTCAAACCTGTGGTCCGGCCGGCGCTGTGGCTCAACAGGCTAATCCTCTACCTTGCGGCGCTGGCACACCGGGTTCTAGTCCCGGTCGGGGTGCCGGATTCTGTCCCAGTTGCCCCTCTTCCAGGCCAGCTCTCTGCTGTGGCCAGGGAATGCAGTGGAGGATGGTCCAAGTCCTTGGGCCCTGCACCCCATGGGAACCAGGAGAAGCACCTGGCGCCTGCCATTGGATCAGCGCGGTGCGCCGGCCGCAGCGGCCATTGGAGGGTGAACCAACGGCAAAGGAAGACCTTTGTCTCTCTCTCTCACTGTCCACTCTGCTGGCAGTGCAGGCAGCAACTTATCTCACTGCACCAGAACACTACCCCCATCCATGGTTTAGGACCAGGCAACAAGAAGGGAGGCCAGCGTGCCTTTCCCCGAGCTCGGTTTCTCTCCGGCTCTCCCCCTCATGGTGCTCTTCGAGGACAGGTTTCCCACGGGTCAGGAAGGCTTCCTTCACAGCTGGCCAAGGAAGTGCAGTCACAAACCTTCAAGCCGAAAGGCACACACTGGGGCTGGGGGCTGGAGGCCATTTGGGGTGGGTGGGTTTTATGTTCTCCAAACACCTCTGGGTTTGGGGATGGTTTTGGAGCCCTGCACGAGAGGCACTGGACCGCTTGGCTCTGCTGCATCCACGCTGAGAGCCGAGATTTTCTGCATAAGCTCAGACCGCCAGCATCCTCCTGCCAGCCACACAGCCGATCAGAGACAGCAGATGGGTCCTTGGCGCTCTTGATACAACAGGTAGATGCAGCATAAAGCTGGCTTGTGCACAGAACCGTCCCTGTCTGTCACAGCATCACAATCCCCCTCCATCCTGCCTCACCTGACCTGGTTGAAAATCCACGGGCCTCTGCCTTGACTAAACTGACCCCTGCTCCACATGTGTCCCCCCCAGAGTGCACTCAAGCTCCACCTCTGGGGAGCCTGCCCTGCCTTCCTGCCCTCTCCCTCTGCCCCAGGCTGCCCTCTGGATATCTCCTCCCAAACCCAGAGCCCCTCCTGGAGGGGAATTAAAGGTTGTCTTACCTTTGAGCTCTGTAACTCCAAGGGCCTGGCACAGAGTGGGCATGGGAGCGCACAGGATGAGTGATTAGTGATGCTGAAGACACCAGTGGCAGCTCTGGTGCCCACCCTGGAAAAAGGCATTTGGGCCGTGATTTCTGTCAAATCTTCCTCGGTAGCCTTTCTCCCATGAAGCAGCACCTGGTACCCTCAAACAGTAAGAACTGGACACGCTTTATTCACTGCCACCTCTAGCCAAAGCTGGGAAGACCACAGGCTACCCGGAACCCGCACACAAATGTGTCTGTGACAATGAGCTCCGGGGCAGGCTGCTGCACATGGCTCGGGTGCTCAGCACCCACCTCTCCCGGGGAGCTCACTGCTCAGGACGCCCCCCCCCCCAGAAACCAAACTTCCAAAAGCACATTGTGGGGTCGGGTCTCTGTGGGAGCAATGGCACCGCACCTGCTTCCCAGTGGAGGCCTCTGACCCCCGGCTCACACTCAGCACGGCAGTTGACAGAGTTGGGGGTGCGTTGAGGAAGGAGGCCAGTGGTGCTGTCTCACTTTCTGAGACCACCCCGAGGGGCATGCAGAGGGGCTACCATCACCCATGGGACCCCTGCGACCTGTGCTGCAGGGAAAGACTGCAGCCGACCCACCTTCCTTGGAGGAAGCCAAGGAGCTGAATGCCCCTGCGAATTCTACAGGTACCACCATGGCCAGACCCAACCATGGCCAGTGGCACCCTCCACCCCTGCTCCCACTCCCAGAGATCCATAGCCCTCACTCCCGCGGCCCAGGCCACTGGCTCCCTAGATCTGGACTCCTGGGTAACAACACCCGGTGGCCTGGGCGGGCGTGGCAGGCACACGTGGCCACGTCCCCTGGCCAATGGCGCTCCCTCAACACCCCGGGGACACGGACAGGGGGCCCACGCAACCCCCTCCGGAGTCTTCAGTTTGTAGGTCAAGGTCACAGCTGCGGGGACACCTTCTGGCAGCAGAGGTCAGAAGTCCCCAAGGGCCGGTGAAGGCGCGGCCACACCCAGTGCCCCTGCGCTGGAAGTCCCGCCTCCCACAGCAGGCCAGATGACCTGTCACTTAGGTTTGGATCGTATAACTCCAGAAAGATTCTGTAGCTACCCAGAGGCCTGGCACTCGTACATCGAGAAGCAGGTTGCACCTCCGTGTCCCGCAGATCTCGTTATACACAAAACAGGGGTTTGACACACATTTCCTTACACCGGGCAGAGCCTGGGGGCCACCCCCCAGTACTTTCGGCCCTTCCGTCCTGATTTTCGTCCTGCATTCCTACCTTTCTTCATCCCGGGCAGCCTTTGCGCAGTACTCAGAAAGACAAAGGAACACCTAACACACATGAAGCTAGCACTCCAGGAAGCAGAGCCCCTGAGCACACACGGTGAGGGCCTACCCCGAAGCCGGAAGCCCTGACGGAAAACCCGGACCCCCAGGCCGGAAGCTCAGGCCCGCAGACCGGAAGCTCAGGCCTGCAGACCAGAAGCTCAGGCCCCCAGACCGGAAGCTCAGGCCCGCAGACCGGAAGCTCAGGCCCCGACCGGAAGCTCAGGCCTGCAGACTGGAAGCTCAGGCCCCCAGACCGGAAGGCCGGGCCTGCAGACCAGAAGCCAGAGGCCCCAGACCGGAAGCCAGAGCCCCCAGGCCGGAAGCTCAGGACTGCAGATCGGAAGCCTGGGCCCCAGATCGGAAGCTCAGGCCCGCAGACCGGAAGCTCAGGCCCCGACCGGAAGCTCAGGCCCCAGATCGGAAGCTCAGGCCCGCAGACTGGAAGGCCGGTCCCTAGACCGGAAGCTCAGGCCTGCAGACTGGAAGCTCAGGCCCCCAGACCGGAAGCCCAGGCCCTCGGACTGGAAACCCGGACCCCCAGACCGGCCTCTACTCAGTTTCCTCTCTGCCGCCAAACACAGATGGGCCTTCTGGGGAAGCTTCCCAAAGGGCAAGTCTGCAATGGGGCCTTCACACAGGAAATAGCCGGTTGTGTCCACACTCCCGAGGACGGGTTGTCGGGTCACCCGGGCGTGGCAAGCCAGGGCAGCGGCGTGGATTTCCACCGCATGTTCCGCCGCAGCAGGACGGACGCTCAAACCCCTCTCGGGCCGTTCTGAATCGGCCCTCAACCAAACGCCAGTTACGCTAAGCAGTCTCAGGCACCAAGAAAGCGTTTTACTTTAAGCTCAGTCTTGCTACTCCTTTTCATTTTTATTTATTTTCATGTTATTTGAAAGACAGAGGTGTCTCCTTTGCTGGGTCATCCCCACAACAGCAGGGGCCGGGCCATGCCGAAGCCAAGAGCCGGGAACTCCGTCCAGGTCTCCCATGCGGCTGGAAGGCACTCAAGCAGTTGGCCATCACCTGCTGCCCCAGGTGCATTAGCAGGGAGCTGGCACCAAGCAACATCTGAACTCCACCAAATGCCCACCCTGAGTTGCTCTCTTTAAAGCTGTTTGCTGTCCTGAAATGGAGTCTACTCTCCATACTGTTCAGGATCACCATCTCTCTGGCTACCCCAGGACTAACGAGTTTCCTGGGATGTGAGATTTTAGTGCTGAAACTAGATATTCCCCGGCCAATCAGGATGCTTGGGGCTGGCTTGTAGGGCAAGAGGTAAAGCCACCACTTGCAGGTCCATCCCATATCAGAGCGTTGGCTGGGAGTTCCAGCTGCTTCCCTTCTAATCCAGCTTCCTGCCAGTGTACCTGGGATAGCAGCAGAGAGGGCTCAAGTCCTCTGGCCTCTGCCACCCACGTGGGAGACCAAGAAGGTGTTCCTGGCTCCTGACTTCATCCTGGCCCACACCCTGTTGTTGCAGCCATTTGGAGAGTGAACCAGCAGAAGGAAGATTGCGCTGTCTCTCCACCTTTCAAATAAATAAAGGATGGTCACCCTCATACCTGTCAGCCCTACCCAATTTTCCACTGTCACGGAGCCACCAAGTCAAAGAAGACAATACTCCCTGGTTAAAAATCTGGGAGATGGTACAAGTTTACCAAAGTCAGTTCCTACAGTCCCAAGCCCCCACCCTCCAACCCTCCATAGCCTTGCAAAAATGAATGTGACCAGCATCCCCCTCACTGGCCACCACACCAAAGTCAGGACCACGGTGAACTGCAAGCTGCAGCAGTGGCAGGCACAACCCTGCTCCGAAGTCGAAGCTGGGATCCAGATCTGAGTTAACACCTCTCGAGGAAGAAAACTCCCATGGAAAAAACCATGGAAAAACCCTTTGCTGTGACCACAGAGACACAGTCACCATGCAAAACTATAATTACAGTGGTGCCCAGCAGGCTTTCCATGACAAATGGGGTCTGACTCTTGGTGGAGTGCAATTCTTTCCAGCTGCAGTCAGCTATGGACAGGTTTCCAGCCCACTGGGGACTCGCCTGATTTGTTAACAAATTGGCAAGGCTGGGGTTGAGGGAAGATGAGACTGGGAACAGAATAAATGATATGGATTTTTCTTCAGTCCTCTCAGCTGAGACTAGGAGAACACAAAGAAGGAAACAACCAGGGCTCACACTGTAGGACAGCAGGTTAGGCCACCACCTGCGACACCAGCATCCCCTATAAGTGAAGATTCGAGTCCCGGCTGCTCCACTTCCCATCCAGCTCACTGCTTATGTGCCTGGGAAAGCAGTTGAAGATGGCCCAAGTGCTTAGGCCCCTGCCACCCACGTGGGAGACCTCAGCCTGGCCCAGCACCCACCAGTGTGGCTATTTGTGGAGTAAACCAGCAGATGGAAGATCTTTCTCTGTCTCTTCCTCTGTCTGTAATTCTGCCTTTCAAATAAGTAAAGTAAATCCTTTTCCCAAAAAAGGAAGAAGTAAAACAACCAAGAGTAAATGGTGGTATCATTTGAACCCTGAGACTAACAGCGATGCTTTGTCTTTGGTTCTCTTTAACAGCTGCAGCATTCAATAACAAAACCAAGAGAGACTTTTGTGTTTCTTACACACTTCCAGCAACCCCGGAAGAATTGAGCCTTGAGCTCACCCTGTCTTTGAGGGAAAGCAAAGTAGGGTCAGGGGGAAGTGAGAAGTGAGAGTGGATTCTCGTCTCAGCCCTTTTCTCACTAACTGACCAGACAATAGCTGAGTCTTCTGAAATAGGGATATTGTTCATTTGTCTAAGTTACAGAATTCTTTTTTAAAGTGTATTTTTGCCGGCGCCACAGCTCACTAGGCTAATCCTCCACCCTGTGGCGCCGGCACACCGGGTTCTAGTCCCGGTTGGGGCACCGGATTCTGTCCCGGTTGATCCTCTTCCAGTCCAGCTCTCTGCTGTGGCCCGGGAGTGCAGTGGAGGATGGCCCAAGTCCTTGGGCCCTGCACCCCATGGGAGACCAGGAGAAGCACCTGGCTCCTGCCATCGGATCAGCGTGGTGCGCCAGCCACAGCGCGCTGGCTGCGGCGGCCCTTGGAGGGTGAACCAATGGCAAAGGAAGACCTTTCTCTCTGTCTCTCTCACTGTCCACTCTGCCTGTCAAAAATAAATAAATAAATAAAGTGTATTTTCATCTTATTTTAAAGGCAGAGAGGAGAGAGAGAGAGATTCCATCTGCTGGTTAACTCCCCAAATGCCCAGAACAGCCAGGGCTGGGTCAGGCTGAAGCCAGGAGCCAGGAGCTTCATTCAGGTCTCCCACATGGGTGACAAAGACTCAATATTTGAGCTGTCACCTGCTGTTTCCCAAGTGTACATGAGCAGGAAGCTGGAATCGGGAGAGGGGCCGGCACTGGAACCCGGGCACTCCTATATGGAATGCAAGCTTCCTAAGCACTGTCTTAACACTGCACCCAACACTCGTCCCGAGAGCTTTTATGCGTATCCACGCAGGCCACAGATGTGGACAGCAGATCCTGCCTCCTGCTATCTCTCAATTCCTCAAGCTGGGTCTCCCAGCTACCTCCAGAGGGTGCAGGGTCAGGGAGTCACCATGCAGGGTCAAGGACCCAGTGTTTACTGAGACCAGGGAATCAGGGGGATGCCTCCA